TTCTTTTGTCGTTTTTTAATTATAAATTAATTTTGAAACCTTAAAAAGCATAATTTTTACATTTTGAAAATAAATAACCATTTTATTTTTTAAAATACCCATAAATTCTAAATGAATTGCTTTAAAAGAAGCTCAACTTTTGTTTTTACAAGTAAAGAACAATTTTCTACGCTCTCTTTCATGGAAAGAATTTTAGTTTTTATATCCTTCAAATTATTTCCAAACAATCATCAATGTGCCCTTTTACGACTTCCTATCTTTTCTTATACGTTCAACCTTCTTCAAATTATTAACCATTTAGTATTCTTGTATTGTACTGAAGAGCACTTAATCTCTGTGGAACAGTTTTTTCCGTTTTACTTTATCCCAGCTCTTGTTAATAAAGGAAAATTCATTTTGAGCTGGTTCTCAATAAAGCCGATTTGTTTTGGTTCTTAGGTAACGTTTTATGCAAATGCTTTGAAATGGTCTGAATAGACGGTGGGGAAACGTAAATCTTCGAAGTTAGTCTTTTTTCCTTCTTCACCCTAGATAGCAGCGGATGACTATATTTTGTATATTCCCTTATTGGATAAATATTATCTAAACCACCCTATTCACAATTATAACCAAACGAAGGTAATAATAATTATTATGATTGCATATTGGCCAAAATTAAAAAAAAAAGTGGAAAAGAGAGTGAAACAGATAGAGAAATAGAAGTGGAGTGATTGAGAGAAATGAGGAAAGAGAGATATAAAGACATAAATGGGAAGAGAAAGAGAGAGAGAGGGGGAGTGAATGATTGAGTAAGAAGGATGGGGAGAGAGAGAGGGAGTGCGTTAGAGAGTGAGAGAGGGATATATTGTAAGTAAGCGAGAGGTACAGGAAGAAAAGAGAGAGTTACGGGGAGAATGAATGAATGAAGCTTTATTTAACGTTGTAGAATTTGGTCAGATACTGACCATTTATCAATGGTCTTACAGAAAGAAAGGGGGGGAGGGAGAGAGAGAGAGTGGGGGAGAGAGGGAGGGAGGGAGGGAGGGAGAGAGAGAGAGAGAGNAGAGACTGTAAGAAAGTAATCGAGAGGCTTAGGAAGAAGAAAGAGAGGGAAAGTAAACCAGATATTGATAAATTAAATAAATAAACAGTAATAAAATAATGCTTAAAATAATTTAGTAATTAAATCTGGCGTGTTAAATTTCAGATTCGAGCTTGAACCATTATCTACCACATAATACTACAATCATTAACTGTCGAGAAATCAAAACTCTAGTATATTTGTTTGTTTTTGTCATCTACCATCACTAATTGTATTTTTATTGTTTAATGTAAAAATTTTCTTTAAAAAATTTTTACCCTACGCGCGTGAATACAAAAAAATTAATACATTTTCAATTAGTCGAAAATAGGCAATTTGGAAATCAAATAGATAATTTATGATTGAATGTACAATAAAATAATCTAGTAATAAAATCTAGCATCTTAACTTTCAAATTCAACCGTGATACATCAACTTCATTTCATGTTAAATTTAATGTATAATTAACTAAATTAAGCCAATATCTCTCACAATTGAATAATCATTAAAAACGTTCTTGGAAAGTTCAAACTCAATATTCTAGTCCTTTTTAATTTATAATATACAATGTCAGTTTTGTAATGTGTTGAGCGTTATTCTTAATCTACATGATAGATTCTTTTGCGTCTTATGTTTCTTTTGGCAGTAAAGGACGAATTCTCCTAGTTGGATCCTAGTTTGCCACTTTCGACCATGTCATTCTAGAACGATTTCCCAAGTGGAAATTCTTGAAAATGTCTCAAGACGGGTCGAGCAATCCCTTTAAATAAGACGCTTACGCCAACAAGGTGGTCGACCCCTTCGGAGAACTCGCCTCTGGCACGGGTACGTCGTAAGCTCACGATGAGGCGGGGAGAAGATTGGCCAAAGAGGATAGGCCGCCCTAGGAATACTGGACGATTGCCACTTGGTCTATTTCCGTGGGTTGGTTTGTGAGGTCTTCGGAGCGACCAAGACATATATCTTATCTCAGGCTAAACCAGGGCAAGGACACTATCTCCAATCTGCTCGACTCGTCCACACTGCCTCTTCAGTCTTCGACTGATAACTCCGCTTTGAAAATAACAAACTATAACATATTCTCATGGGACAAAACGTCATTCGCCTACTCTTACAACAATTAAACGCTACAAGAGCCGTCCATTTATCCTCGAAACGTCATTTATTTATTCAAGCAGTCAAGTAGTATTATAAAGCAAATAATTCATTTTTTATTATTTTTTCGTAACAAATAGATGTTATGTTAACAAGAATATCTCTTCTTTATAAATCGCTCTAATTGATTCAAAATCCAACCCTCTAGGGAAAAAATAAGGACAAAACTGGTTTTAAGAATTTTAGAAGTCACAAATTCCTTCCCTATATTACTATTCTTTACTAAATTAAATTATTCTTAAACAGCTGGTCCTTTACTGGCTTTAGTAGCATGGCTATTTAATGATACATGTTCCATTTTGTGTTGGTAGATTTTATCAAAACTCTTCCCTCCTTGGGTAAATAAAGAAAGATTAAAAATAATATATAGCCGTTAAGGCTTTTAAACGATCTTTCAGGTTACCTAATTATTAAAGGACCTCCTACAAATCGTTCTGCAGGATACGATTGCTTTTCTTGTTATAAATTTAAATGTCTGCAAACTTTTCTTTTGATTATACGTTAGTTGTATGCCAGTTTTTATTTTATTTTAACTATACATGTGAATTATAAGCCTGTTATTTTCCTACAACAAACATTTTTATGATTTCTTGTTGCGGTCTTGTGCGGGGTGATGAACTCGGCCAGAACAGTTGGCTATTTCCGATCTTTGGGGCAGGGTTCTAAGCAGGGTGAGGCAACAACCCAAGCCCACCACCACAGGTCGCAAAATGGTGAAAAGTGTCCGACAGACCAAAACAGCAATTTATATACTTATTTTTAAATATATAACATATAAAAGACATCCTTAAACAAAAATATATACATTTTGTGTAGATACATGGCGGGAAGACAAAACGATCAATGACAAACGATTTATGGTAGATTAGAACTCACTAAAGCTAGTTTTAAAACTACAAAACTACTTCAAAACTTGATTATTTTATCTTTATTTTACCAAGCCAATTCCAGTATCCAGGAGCATCTTGAGCTGAAGAAAGGTGCAAAACGTGGAAGAGGTAGCTTAACGAGGACAAATGCACCCAAATTACAGTTAAAAAATCAACAGTTAAAGAAACAGCCTAGCTCACGGCAATCAACAGCAGTCGCCAAGTTAACAGTAAGAACTAGGACATCTAACCAAAATACTTGGCCAGTAGACTGGCGTTGGGATCTGAACACAAAACTCAAGCGACAAGAACTAAATACACAATTTGAATAACTACAAAAACTTAAGACCGAAATCAGACATGACGGTAAAGAACAAAATAACTCACAAAAACCTTTTCATACGGAGCGGAGCTGTATCTAACTTTCAATGAATCCAAGCACTCCGACCATATTCCTCAGAAGAATTCTCCAAACTCCTTTCTATGTCTCCAGCCTCTTTATCCTTTATGTTAATGACCTTAACATTTCCTAGGAATTGATATGTTCCCGCTTCCTCAAGTTTCACTTCAATCTTTTAACCCATCCTAACCCTTTTGATCAAGCCCTCACCACTTCCTCCCTCGAACTCGCCCTTAAGGACCTGAATATTGGCTGGCTTTTCATAACACGTGTCCTCCGAGTGCAGTACTGACCGTAGTGTTAGTGTTTTGCCATACTTCATGTACAGGATACAAATCAATATTTACAAAAAAAAATTTTTACTGTTAGATATTTCAAAAATAAGTATACAACTTGTACTTGCGCTGCCACTGGGACCGTGTACACATGCGGTTTTAATGTTACTAAAACACGTTTTGGATGTGTGCCATCTTCAGTGAGGAACTCTCGAATATCAACATCCACCATTAACTTCGTTTTCAAACATACTGACCTACCTGTCCTCGCAGTTTTTATAAAATGTAAAGTGGCGAAAGTGAAATGCGTATGACTACAAAATCAGGATGATTAAGATGCAGGTTCGTCACCTCTCAGATTTCAACAATAAAGATTTCGACATAACGAAACGCATCTGACAGGACCAGCGATGATCCGAAAAGACCAAACTAGAAAATTTATATAGACTGATCGCATAATCGAGTCTGAAATAAAAAGAAAGGATACACGTTGAAAGAACATTGGTAACCAGGTTGCCACAGGTCAACTAAATGCACAATGTAATCAACACCAGCTATGTTTGTTTATTTGATTTGGCTATTCGTGTTTAAAGAAGTAAACAATTTAACAAGACCCTCTTCTGTTAATGTTTTAATTATTTTTTGTTGGTGGTATTGTTTTATCACTCCTTTTTACAAGGGCTGATGAACCCGTAGTTTGATCATTTTCGATTATCCTGGTTTACCTGACAGCGCGCGTTTCAACCATTGGTTGGTCAAGGTGATAAGCTGGGCGAGGAGGGAGCCACCACTAAAGATGGCGATATGCCTTGTGATAGACAAAACCCAGGATGGTCTGGGATCGAATCACTCAGCAGACATCAACAAAAAAATCACAAAATGTCTTTTTAAATGTGTAACTCCTCTATTTTCCAATTTAAACAAAGTATAAAATTAAAATTACTAAATTGCAGTATTTGCCCTTATCTAATATCAAAAGTTCCAAAACTTTCGATGGATGTTAATAGTTTTATTCTTTATCTAAACCCTAAAAGGAAAAAACAAGAAACTCGTGTCAAGATTAATTAAATAATATTGGTATTGTAATTTTTAAGACGGAAAATAGTAAAAGTATACTTGACCGTGGAACCGTTGTAAGTACACCATTTGTGGAGGAACCTCTAGGTCATCTTGTTCCTAAATGAACCCCCATATGGTCGAAGAAATAGAGGAAAGAAATCTCAGCTGTTGTTGAGGAACACTCTCAATGGTACAAACTTTCTTTTTAGTTGAAAATCTTTTGATTGGGATGTTACGATGTAAGTTAACAGGAAGCGGATCGTCATCTAACAGTCTTTATAAAGTCTATAAGCCGGGCGTCATTTCTTATAAACGTTGGAATGGAAACTTAATGTCTGATTGTCGTAAGGCACTTTAAAAGGGGTATAAAAGAACTCAAAAAGCGGAAAGAAGAAGCAAGCGCCCGGATAAAAGTAGGTGAGATTATTTTTATTGTTTCATTGCCGTGTTTATTTTATTACTTCCGAGACGTTTAACGATATGCTGTGATCGAACCGAGAAAATCATACATGATACATGGGCAATTCAATGAAAGTGGAGAAACAGTTGATTCAATATTGTCTCATCAACCTTGTCAATTGTCAGTTACTTATTACTAATTGCGTATATATTTTACTTTGTATCTTTAAGTATACGATTTATTTCAAGGTTTCTGAAACTTGAAAGTACTTAAATTAATCATATTTAAACAAATGTTTTTCTCATCACTGGATATGGGAAACGCTTGGGGTTTTGGTAGCATAGAAAGAATTCACCGATTCAAGTCAATATCTGTAGTTTCTATAAGGAAAAGGTTTCGTTTAACCCCTTGGTGTGATAACACGAGGTCACACTTCTCATATCTCTCTAAAGGAGCAATCCATAACAGAATAAATCAATAAATTGCTGTGGAAGAGATTTCAAAGAAATAGACTTAAGACAATAGTTTAACAATGTCTTTCAACGTTAGAAATGCATAAACAAATATTGTTAGTATATTCAAAAAATGTGGAACTATTTCAATGATCAATTTTTTGTGTGCAAAAATGAAATAAATACGTGTTAATTTTGAAGAGTACCGAAGCTAAACAAAATAGTGGAAGAGTCCTTGTATTCTTCGTCATACCGTTTCTTCTCAGTGATTCATTAGAAAACAATTTAATCTTTTATTGACCTACACAGACAAGTGTTCTCCCTCGATATTTCGTCGTCATTTGAAAAACATGCTTAGCCGTGAATATTCCTCTGTTTCCTTAAGGAAGTTTTCCCACTACTTCCAGGAGTTCGCATTTGTTCGAAGGGTTCAGAGTTGTTAGAAAATCCGCCTCACTTCTTGTGAGCTTGCCCTTTGACCAAATTTAATTCTCCAAATTGAAAGCAGGTTTGGCTTTCCAAAATTCCAACTTTGTGCCGTTTTCCCTCTGGATCGTACCGGTCAAAGAGTAAACATCTTATTGTAGACCAGATTTAATCAGCTTCGTTGTAGACCATAATAATTAATATGAATTTATAAATTTGTGGTCAGTTTCTGTATGCTTAGATCTTTCTTTTTGAATTTATATTTAGTTTCCTTTGTTCGAAGATATTATTATATGAATAAGTCTGGACTAGACCTCGGGTAACCCGTAAAAAAAGGCTAAAACGAACAAGCTTAATATAACAATTACTTATTTAGATTTTTTAAATATACCATACGAGCAGATTTACAAATTTGTAAATTATAATTTAAAATATTTTTTCACAAAAAGTGGCCTGTGTATTGACCTGCAACTAGGATGATCCGGGGCCCGATTGTACATGCTTATATTACTGTGGTAAGGTTAAGAACCTGGCAGGTTTTTGGTATAGGATTATACCAATATTGACTGTATGACGAATCATACCAGGGAACAAGATACGTCTTAGATGAATTATTTTTATAACTAAGTTTTCCTCTCTACTTTGTTCTGTTCTCCCCTAGCGTTTAATTTCTCGGGTGTCGTTATCAACAACCGAGTCTTATATGTTCGGGTGAAGCATTTGTGGATCGATAAAGATAAAGATTAAAGCTGTAACGCGACCCTGATACCTCAAGTAGACCATGGTGGAAAGAGCCGGGTCCGCGTTTTGCCCCAACTAGAAATCTAGAATAGGTTCGAGGCCTGTGAAAGACGCGTGTGGATCCTTCCAAGTTAAATTTAACTCGGAGTGTTGATTCTTTAACCACATCTCTGAGGCCCGAATTCCCCGGCTCGAGACTCGAGAAAACGTTTTTTGCACGGCGAATTCTTAACGGATAATCGCAGGCGTATGATGTAAAAAGAAACAAATAACAACAATATAGCATCCATCGAAAGAGGACAAAAAGGTAACGATTTATGTACAAATTGTCTGCAAACACAGGCATTCTTCCTGTAAGTCCCTAAAATCAGACGTTTTTATCGTATTCAAAGCTTATTGACGTAAATCAATAAAAAAATTGAATGGTTAGTTTAATATTTACACGTAATTCAATGTACTCGCGAAATAAACATTAATAAAAATAATTTATTAATGTTTTATATATGTTAATTTAAATAGAATTTAATTAAATTAAATTTAAATTTTATATATGTTAAATTAATGCTTTATATATGTTACAATGTAGCAAATCTACAAAGGCCATCAGAAAGAAGTTTACTTTTTGAGAGAGAGAGAGAATGAGGGGGGGAGCTGGTAACTGGGGAGATATGCGATTTGGAGGGAGGAGAAAGACAGAAATCGGGTAGATGAGAGATTGAGGGAGGGTGAGAAAGACAGAAAGTGGGGGGATGTGAGATTTAGAGAGACCTCTCAGAGAGAGAGAGGGGGGAATTTGGGAGTTGTGAGATTTGGAGAGAGAGTGATAGAGAAGGAGTTATAGAGGGAGAGAACAACAAAAAATGGAGAGGTGTGAGATTCGGAAGCAAAGAGAGAGAAATTGGTGAGATGTAAGAATTGGAGGAATAGAGGAAAACAAAAATTTGAGAGGTAGTGTGATTGGTGAAAGTCAGGAATTGGGGGTAAATGTGAGATTTCGGGGAGGGAAGAAATTAGAGTTGTGAGATTTGGTGAGAGTCAGCAATTGGGGAAATGTGAGATTTGAAGAGAAGAAAAAGGAGAGAAAGGCCGGAATTGGTGAGATTTGCAAAGAGAAAGAGTGTTATTGACTGATTAAATGAATGAGTGATGTGGTGAGGAAGAAAGATAGCGAGAAAATAGAGATAGATGGATGAAAGACATATTGGGGAGGGAAAAGAAAGATATGTTAACGAGTGGAATGAAGGAAAAGGTAAAAGAGAAATTGGGAGAGAGAGAGTGTGTCCCTCTCTCACACTCTTTCTCTGAAAGAAAGTAAGACTTTGTGGAAAAATTGGAGGATGGGTAAAGAAGGGTAAGCGAATGCGAGGACGTGGTATAGGGAGAAATAATGAATAGGATTGGTTTGATAAAGTTTGCAATTCGGAAAGAAATAGTGAAAGTTATGGGGAAAGAAAAGAGTCGAAGAGAGCGGTGAAAGAAATATTATGGAAATTAAGTAAGAGATTAGGAAACGGTGAGAAAGGGTGAGTGAATGGTAGTGGTGAGGTGGTGAACGAGAGATATTGAGTGAGAAATTAAGAGAGAACAGAGGAAGTGCAAAATTGAGAAACGTAATGGGAGGATGATGCGAGATTGAATAGGAGAGAAAGAGATGGAGAGAAAATGTAAATTTACCATGAAATAATTGAATCTGAAATTAATGCATTTTCTTCCTCTTTAAAATGTTACACAATGATAAAAAAAATTTAAAAATAAATCCTAGACTAAATATTGGAATTTTTAAGTGAATGTTGTTTCTTTTTCAGCCACTGGTGATTTTAGGTTCGTATAAAAGATATTTCTTAATTTCTCGTTTTGTGTTATGTTCAATGAAATGAGAAGTAATGAAATCCTTCATTATCCCGAAGTGCTTGTTTAACTGTTCAATCGGTCCCATTAGTTAATGGCAATTAATGATTGTCCCGGAAAACTTCCTATTTCCACCTTCAACCTCCAATTATGAGAAATTGTGAGAGCGGAGTATGTGTCGATACACCACGAAAACAACACAAACACGTATAACACTGTTGAAGGCGATTGCCACCCACACCCTTAACCGGAAAGAATTGTTAATAATTTAATGGAAGCCTCCCATTTAAATTGATACTCGTATAAGTTTGAAATTTTTTGTCGTAGATAACGCCCTTGGTTGCTACGACGGGCAGAATAGGTCTCGACAATGAACCTACATGGCTTCAATTAACTTAATTGCAATTCTCTATTCTTCATCGGTGCTTATAGAGTTATAAGGTGTATTAAAAAGCCAAAGCAATCTTTTATCCCGAAAGGCGACACTTGTTGAAAACAAACAACCGAAAAATTGTCTTTCCGGTTTCAAACTTGCATTGTAGCATATAGAATTTTTATTTTAAAAAAATTGATTTCTTGTTCCAGGACGAAAACTGGGTGGACCTAGTTACTCAACTTCTTATATTAATAGTGTAGTGCCTTGGCCGAGGTTTCATGTTTGGGTAAGACTTTTTTGTTTAATTATCAAGGTTTTTTACATGGAATTGCTTAAATTAAATAGTCAATATTTCAAATTCAGACATTTGTTAGGCCACGACTACTGTATTGCTGCATCGCAGTAGCTCGTCTCCTTGGCTCTGTCGCAATATTAATCGATTAACTATTACGCGTCGAAAATTTATTGACAAAGCCTTAGATTATATTTCTTGCTGAACACCGTGGACTATTTTAAAATAAAGATAATAAATATAATAATAAATCGAATTTTTCCCTTGATAAGAGATGGATTTAAAAAGAAGACTAATGAATGTGTTTTAAAGCCAATTGGATAATTAATATTTGCCTTAAGATAATAATGCATATAGTAGCTGTTTTTTATATTTTTTTGTATTGCTGATTTTTTACAAAAAAATGAAACAAAACTTGCATGGTCGAATTTGTATTTCTTAAGGTTTAGCTATTTATAGTTTATAGTTTTACTCATTTTCCTCTTCTGATAGAATGTGCAAAATCATGGTTGTAATTGTGTTCTAAATTTAAAAATAGATCCTTCTTTAAAAAGATTATAATACATTTTTAAAAAAACATAAAACATGGTTTTAAAACTGCAGAAATCACTGCACCAAAATGACAAAATTATAAACACCAAAAAAATTAATGATGTTCTCCAGATCAATTAATATATTCGAAGGGATTTTATAACGTACAAATTTATTTTAAAAGTTTTGTGAAAAAAAAGCATTAAAATTTATAACTATGAATTAATCTCCATCGATCTGCTCCGTGTTATCACGGGTTGTTGTAAAATTATTTGAAATCCGTTTTCCCGCGTATACTTTGTAATATTACATTCCTGGAACGAAATAATCCAATAGGAAAACAAAAAGTTTTATTACATCATGGCTAATCAATATTGAATTTTTTACTCAAAACATTACAATAACGTATCTTTATAGCCATAGCCATGGGTAAAAAAAGCATGGTTATCGAGCAATAGCAAGGCGTGCCGTAAAAGTTTCTGTTTACGTATTGATGATACTTTGTATTCAATATGCAGATTTTTGTATTTTACTGATAAAAATCCACCCCCAATTGTTGTTTAATATCAAAACCCTAATATTGGTCAAAAATCTTCAGTTCTTCGATGAATTTTCGAAATTTATACGACAATTTATTGAACTATTGACGATTTAAATACTTAAGCTGCTCTCACACTGGAATTGACTATTTGCGATGTTCGGTCGTCCTTATTTTCGCACTTCTCACAGGCTTTACCAACCTATGGACCTCGCAAACTGGGACGTTTAAGTCCGATTTTCGATCATCCTTTTTTCGTCCAACTTCTTACAGGGTTTACTAACTTATGGGTCCTCTCACACTGGAACCGACTTATCTTGGAAATACATCCTTTTTTTGTTCAGATCTGCGACTCGATCAGTAAGCTGGGATTTTTTGCGTTCAGTAGACGGCCAAAGGTCTCGCAATTCACCAGCTCACCAAAGCAAATACTTGCGAAGAGAGGGCTTAACAAATAAAGAATGTTTGGGTTTAAAGTAACATAAAAGAATTACAAGTAATTGTATTTAAACAATTTTAAATAATAATTAAAATATTATATTAAAGCAATTAAAATACTTCTTGTATGAGTTTAGATCCTAGAACTTAGTAGACCTACAATTAATTAAAAAAGTTTGTATGAACAAGTATAAGGTAATTGAGAGTAATGGCATACGAATGTTTTTTTCTGAAAAAATTCTACTAATTAATTATGTTGTTAATTAAGTTGGAAAATAAGTCATTACCAATTTTGTCATATTATCGGTGCCAACTGAAAAATTAAATAATTCCTCAATTGTAAAAACATGGAAGTTGTTCATTTTGTCCAGTAGTCAGTTGTTTACACCTTTATATGAGCAACGTTTTAACTGGTTCAGTATTTAATTTTTTGTCTTTCACAAAAAAAGATCTCATAAGAAATTATAGATGATCATAATGCAAAATAAAAAGTTAGAATTGTTTGTATTTTTTTAATTGTTACTCTTCTTGCTTCTTGTAGGTTGATTTTCTAACCTTCAATTGATTGATTGATCGGACAATGAACTCCTTCAACCAAAAAATTTGGTTCTTCAGAACCATCTTTGTCTTCGCGTCAACAAACTACCACTTTCAATTTAAATTCACTAATTTCGTGGCCCGCTTGACCACTTCAATTTAAAATTGTAAAAACCCACAAATACTAAATAAAGATTCAGAATTAGAGATTTGGCCAATATGCTAAACCATAAGGCAAAAAAAAATCAGAATTCATGACAACCACGTAAAGAAGGACAAACGGTCCAAAGTATGTTCCAATGTGATAGCCCAAGTCGTGCAACTAAGTTTCCGTTGTCGCAGTCGTACGACCCAACAGAAAGAGTTGATTAAGTTAAAATAAAACGAGCCGTTCTTAAATTATGAAGGAATGCGGGTCGGATTGAGTAATATAGACAAGAGGTTGATGAATTAGGTTTTCTTCCAACTCGAGGGAGATAAGATTATATTTTGTCGGTACATCGAGGAAGGAATAAAGATTGGAAACTTTTAACTAATCAGAAGGGTAAATACAATACAATTTAGTCATTAGTATTAGTTTAGAATGTTGTGTTCTTGTAAGAGGCGTTTAAATTACGCTATTGATTCAAATTGTAATCCTGAGCCTTTGCTTCTGTAATATAAAATGCATTGGTGTTTGCTATTTTTTTAATATAATTGTGAACGGGCTGTCGGTTTTTGTGCTGGGTCACGTCCAAACTGGGAATACGTTTTTCCTCTTTTACCATTCTTCTCAAAAGGCTTAAGAAGAAGGTATAAATACTCGAGTGTTTACAATAGAACAGCGTAGTCGTGTAGGTGGGGGTCCTCGAGTCTTATTAGGCGTGTCCCCGGCCGTTCCGACATCTGTGCTTCAGCTCCGCAGTCTTCGCCGTCTACTCGGCGCCCATGGCTTAAGGACGGCCGCTCTACCCAGATGTAAGGAAGCTCTTTTGCCACTCGGTTCTTACGCAAGAAGGAGGGTGAGTTTTTCAAAAAAAGTCGAAGGAAAATTGTATTTTAGTTTGTTCTTGTCTTTGGCACGAGGCGATGCGTGGACGATGGCGACGGTCTCTTCTGACATTAGTGAACAGTTGATTTTTATCGATCGTAAAGGCGCGTTACAGCAGGGTGCTGTGCGGGCGGTTGATGAAAGGTTTCTTTGTGGCCCAGAGTCGGAGGCCGGAGGTCCAATCGATAGACGCCGCCGTTCTGGAGTAGATGACGTCAGCCGGCAGAAGCCTCCTCCTGGCTCCGCTCGTACGCCTCGGCGGGATCTCTCTTTTTAGAGAAGCGTCTCGGCTCGAGGTCGTCTTTTACGTTTGTAGTCTTTTTCCGTCGTAGACCTCTGCCAATCCGGGTGTTATCCGGAGGGCCGGATGATCCGTTGCGAGTCGTATCGCGGCACAGTGCGCCTGTGTAGCCGGAGTGGGGGCCGGCCCCTCTCTCTTCCCTCCCAGGGCCGTACGCTTGAGAAATTCTTCAGCATTTGGTCAGAGCCCGCGTCTCGTCGACTTCCTGCGTGTCCATCTGATCGCCGCGGCCGGGAAACCGCCCTCGACCCCCCGATGTGTGTCAGTGTCCGTCTCGTGTCAATCTAGTCGTCGCCTCGGGGGATGTGTTTCAAAGGGTCTGTTTTTCTGTTCCAGCATTATGGCGGCGCCTTCCATGGTCAGTCGAAGTGGGGATAACTTAGTGGTGCGGAGTGTCGTGAGTGGGGACGCCCTGTTCGGCACGGAAGACAAACAAGAAGAGGAGTTCCAACTGTTCGACACCTCCAACAGCGGTGAAGAAGACCACGGAGGGGAGCTTCCCCAGTGTAAAATCAAACGCAACTACACCTGCGGGCTCTGCGACTATTACACGCAGAACCCCAGGTTTTACCTTTATCACCAGAAGCACGTCCACAAAGAGAAGATAAGGATATACGAGTGCCCCAACTGCCTATACGCTTCGAAACACAGTCAGAAGCTACAACGTCACATGCATATGGTGCATGTGATGGGGGCTGGCAAAAGGAAAATTTTAAAAGCGAAAGCGAAACCTAAGTCACAAACTAAACAAACGGCGGCACCGGCGCAGTCACAGCAGGAGCCGACTCCGCCGACTAGTCACGCCGTTTTCGGCAACGATCAAGAAGACGACCAGGAGCCGATTTACGCAGACGACGGCACACCGGTGTACAAATGTTCCGTCTGCGACATGACGTCCAAGAGTCAAGGCCTCATCGCGAGGCACGAGAGAGTCGTCCATCTCAAAAGGAAATTCTACCACTGCGGCAAATGCAATTACGTCACCCATTTAAAGGCCCGATACACGAAACACGTCAAGTACCATTCGATGCCCATGATAAAATGCGACCTCTGCGATTTCAAGACACCCTACAAGTGGAACTTGGACAGACACAATAAAAACCACTTGGGCGACGGCCTGTTCAAGTGTTCCATCTGCAACTTCGCCGCGGACATCAAGCAGAGCCTCACCGTACACGAGATGAACCACCACATCCCACCCGTCGGCCATATTGTCGCCGCCCAAAGAAGACGATTGAAAGTCGGCGCATCCGACACGATGGGCCTCGTCACAGAAGAAGACCAGATCGAACAGGGGGAACTCGAACTTCTCAAGATGGAACGGGAAGGTGCATTCGAACAGGTAATTTTCACTCTTAAAACCCAACATATTCATTCATTTCAAGAAAATTAATTAATCCATAATCTTTTAAACGTCACATGTCTACACTGCCAAGTTTTCAGAGATAAAGAACGTCCTTAAGACATCTTACAGAATTTCCACAAGACATTTATATGATTAACAGTATTTTCACTTTTCCTATTTACAGTCTTGTCTTTAGTTTTTCTCGACGAAACAACACTTTTCTGATTTAAAAAAGTAAATAAAATGTCACTACATTAACTTCATCCTTATCAGCGGCCATTTTATGATAAAAAAAGGTGGTTGGACTAGGAGTGAGGAGGTTATAAGCGTAAATGCAATTAAGCTTATTCCTGTTCGTTGATTGAGTCGAGTGGTTCCGTCCATCGATAAATTTAGATGTGAAATACCAAAAATTCGTGTTGAACGAGATCGAACTGGTATGAAATCATTAATTTATTTTATGACAAAATGTTTTATTTGAAATCGCACGTTTCTACATCGATGTTTACACCAATTAAGTCCGCTAGTGCCTTTGTTGATCTTCCCGTTCAGAAATTGGCAAAATTCATTAATATTTCCAACTCATTGACACTCCATTATTGGCATTTTTTTGGGGGGAAGGCTTTTTAAATATTTTATAAACTAAGATGACTTCATAATATTGTAATTTTTTAACTCTTGTCTGTATAAATAGGAGCTACACGTGACTCGTAATACATTATACAATAAATGTTTATTTAACACTAAACTTTTGAAAATACAAATAAATTATATTTATTTTTCAAAATACTTAATTATTTTTTTATGGGGGAGGTGTTTCAACTACATACTGTTGCGTGTTTTTCGACAATTTGAACTTGCAAAAAAAGTTCATTTAACGTGAATGTCATTTATCTGGAAAAAGAAATGAAAACCATAGAATGATGATGTTAAAGGGTCACAGATTATGCATTTACAGCAACAACAAAATTGTCAGTAACAGAATCTGAGGTTTATATATAACTCAATAGCTTGGCGACAACTTTAATATGTAGTCTGTACTACTTATACAATCCAACATCATCATTTTTATGCTGGAGTGTTCTTAAGTTAAAGTATTGTTTAGTCCCATTAGCATCAGATTCCTTTTATTTAACAAAACCTGCAGAATTGTAAGCTGTGCACCATATGCTTTTAATTTTTCTTCTCCAAAGTTGAGGAGGCTACCGAAACAAGGAGGTTTTGAGCATAAATGTAATTAAATGCATTTCCCGTCGGTTGAGTATCTCATACACCCACAATTTTTTTTTTCATTCATGCCACACAATTTCAACCACAGCGCGGCAAGAACTGACACAACTGGAGAAACTGTATACAAGTAGAACTCCTACAGCCCGCTCATTCTAACATTTTTCAGTTTATTCTTCATATTAGGATTCGCTTTATTTGAACTTTCACCTCAAAGGGTTGTCACTCCCGATGTACTGACCCTAGTAGACCCCTAGTGGCTGGATCTCTACTATCCCCCTTAGGCCAGGTGCCCAGGATAACCAAAGGGGCAAATTATAATCTAACCTAATACTAACTATATTTAATAATACAGTCGCACCAATAAATGCATTCCTACATTGTACTCATACTGATTAGTTGGTGGAGTACTGAATATCTTCCATGGACCTTCAAACAATGTCGATAATTTAATCAAAGTGGGGTAGGATTAGGAGATAAAAGAGGCTGCCACAAGGCTTACTGCACCTCGACCTGAATAGATCTATTGTGCTTCGCTGTTTTTATAACTCACTGGCCAGCTTCAGGTTGTTAATCAACCTCCATAGCTTTGCCAGAGGCTCCTAGTCGATGGGGTATTTTTATAAAAATTCTGCCATCGACCCCAGACCATACATTGCTGGAGGAGCAATGGTGATGCTATATTTACAGTCACACTAATAAATACATACACACAAACAAAACATGAGACAAATTTATATACAATAAAAATAAACCAACATCCTCCAAAAAGTGGAACAGGGCACCCAGAAATTACCTATTGTGTCGGTGTTAAATTTATCAGCATGCCTACATGCTCTCTGTAAGGAGCCATGGCATGACACTTCTATTGTGTGGGGCACATCGAGCAACCTGTGTCAACTGCATGTGACCTAATTGGGTAAGGACAATTCCTCGTTTCCAACTCAGGTTCTCATGTACAGGTCGTAGACACGCAAGATCCTCTTGGGCGACCCTGCCCACTGATGATGCCGTCTTTCTTTTATCATGTACCTTACCACTCACTTAGCGTCAGAGGACCTGATCGCGATGGTCCAATTGGGAGGGTGAGACGGATTAACACATTCTATGGAACTGACCTTCAGGGGAGCCTAAATTTTCCAACCACCAGGCAGAATGCATAAGAAAATTAATTTTTTTTTTAAATTTGGTGCCTTGTGGAACATTGAAAACGTTAAAGGAGACCATACATGCTAAGTTAATCTGATAGAAGAATAAACTTAACTATTATTTTTGTCCAGTTTCTCCATTTTTCCTAGGTATGTTGCTCTGATGAAAAATGGGTAGCAAAAGAAAACCAACACTTTCCCTTTTTGTATCTACATAAATTTGGAGGAGGATGAAAAAATAAAAACCAAAGTCAAAACAGGAGTAGGGGCCTTCCACTAATGTGGAATAGTGAAATTTTCCATCCGAAAGACTGGACAATTACCTGACCAAACTGTCAGTTGATTGGACCAACTTATGAAATTTTTGTTAGATAAATTAAGAGTGTACAGAGGGTCCTTCAGTCATGTAATAAAATACAATAACAAACATTTAAATGTTTAATTGAATTTCTTTATTTATTATTTGTGAGGAAAAAAATCATTGATGGTAGAATTTGTATTTGATTTGCTTTTAGAACCCTGCTGATTTTGTTCAGACTCAACTTGACTTCCCATGTGAATTCTACAACTACCCTGGTCCGGAGAATGCAAAAACTGTATTTTTGAAAGAACCCGACCACATGAGTAGCAATGAGGATTTAGGAAGTAACAAGTTAATTCAAATTAAAAAGTACAACTGCAGGCTATGCGATTTCAAAGGTAATTTAGGCGAGGTTCAAAGGCATGAAACGGGAGTGCACAGGATTAAATCGATACTCGACAGCCCCAAGAAGAAATCAGCTCGGCCGATACCTAATCTGATACCAATCCAAGGCCAGTTGAAATCCCCTTCGGAAAAGAAGCAGTTGAACGAAGAAAACCTGAATAATATTTCTCACAACAGTTCATTGAAAGATTTTGCGTCCTTGATTGGAGACGAGTTCAGTACGGCAGATAGTTCCTTAGAAAATTCGACAAATCTCAGTGAGTCAGATAAAAAGTTACCTGAGGTGTTTAAAAGAAAAAATGCCTCGTTTTTTGATAAACTAAAAGAAAAACTGATGACCAGTGCAAATGAAAGCAATCTAACTTGTTCCTATTGTGGTCACGAAGCCAAATGTCTTTCTGAACATATGAAACATCAAAGAACACACATGCAGGGTGATGTCGATGAACAGAGCGAGAATAGTAGAGAGTCACGACATCACTCGCCTGAACTTTCATCTACAAGGTGTCCACACTGCCGACATAGATTTAAATTGAGTGCAGATTTGGTCACACACTTACAAGCGTGCCCTGAAGCTAACAATCAAGCAGTCAAAATAAAAATAGAACAGGAAGACGAGGAGGAGGAAGAGGAAGAGGAAGAAAATGAACATGACGAAAACGAACAAGAAGACAATCAGGGTACAGAGGACAAGAAACTACAAGAACCGCAGGCACATCCGATGGAAAATAAAGTTTTTGTTTGGAACGCTATGCCAGATTCGATTGGCAATGAACGCAAAATTAATGACTTTAAACATGAACAAGATTGTTATATGCCACAACCAGAAGTCGAAAAGAAAAAACTGCCCGATAAATCTTACGTTGGTGTTGAGTTGAAACCAGGATATGGCACTATGACATCGGGTGATGAAGCTGGAGACCCAAAGGACTTCAATGTAACAGTCATGAAAAAGGTAATAAAATTTAACTAAATAATGTTAGCAAAATATGATATTCATTGTTAGATGAACGTTGTTATAGGTGTTCAAGTGTCCTCACTGTACATTCTGGGCTTCAACAGCATCTCGATTCCATGTGCATATTGTTGGCCACTTAAACAAAAGACCATTCCAGTGTTCGCTTTGCTATTACAGTTCCAATTGGCGCTGGGATATAACGAAACACATCCGCCTCAAAACTCTGAGAGATCCGACACACGAAAAGGCCAAGGTCTTGCTGACAGATGAAACAGGAAGGAGAAATTATTCAAAATACAACAAATACCTTACAACGATGCATATGGCTTCAACTAGTAGTGTCAAACCTTTGAGGAAAATTTTACCAAAAGACCATCATAACCAAGAACAGGTACAATACGGCTTGAAGAGGTCATCGACAGAACACAGGGATTTAGAGCACGAACAGCCAAAGAAGAAACCCCACCTTGAAAACAAAAAGACTATGTGGAAATGTAAAAAATGTTATTTCAGGTAATTATTTTTATTTATAGGAATATTAATACATAAAATTTCAAAGGAATAATTTTCAAGTTGATGTATTCCTTATATTTAAATCAATATTCTTATTTCTCTTCTAGGGATAGTGATAGAACTGTTGTCCTTGCTCATGTGAGGGAACATTATAGGACTCAGGCAGATGGTTACACAAAGGATCATCATCAGGTTAATTTTTATTTATTTATTTTTACAAAGAAAGTTAATATTTACATAAAATATATTCTCTAGAATGATGATACAACAAACTCTATGGGGCCACAATCGGATGACGAGCAAAACAACATTCCTTGTAAGTATATTTATATAATAAAATTGACATGCTAGTTTAAAAAGTATTCTTTAGCCAACAAACAAAAAATTGCAGGTTCTGATTATATGTGTGAAACTTGCCCATTTGTATGCGATTCTTGGATGGAATTAGAGGCACACGCAGAGAAACATTTCGTCAACCAGGAAGGAAGCAAATTCAAATGCCAATTCTGCAAGTTTTTTGCTCAGGACAAGGAGTAAGTCAATTTCTCACAAAAAAAAAAAAAAAAAAATAGTGTGCATTTAGAATAAGACTTTGAAACCTTCAGCCCATCAGGGTATGCAGTAACACACATTGATTTTTAACTAACAATGGAATAATTATAATTTTAAATAATTTATTAAATTATTAGATTTTAAAACTTATTTTGATTTGTCCAAGCCATATACTATAACTTTTTTCGGTTTTCACGGAAAAAAGTCAAACTTTCAAAATATACATTTATTTTATTTTTAATCTTTTTAATTTCCTTCATTTTCTATAACATACGGCCAACATTGTGGTATCAGAAATATTCCATTTGTGTAAAAAAGTCTGATGGCTTAGATGAAAAGAAAAGTGTAGTTCAATTTTCAGAGCATTTTTGTTCAAAAATTCCCTATATTTTTAAGTAGTCTTCTAGGGAGCGGAATGAGTAAAAATCAGAAGAGGCAACAAGGTGTGGAGAGTATGAAGGGTGGGTCATTTGTTGCAATTTTACTCAATAGGCCTAATTGTAATTGTGTATTTAATTTTTTATGTTTATATCTATCAAGTTGGGTTTAATTATTTCAGCACATTTATATATTATATTTGTATTTATTTTACAACAATCAATCAACGATGAACCAAGGGTTAGTAGTTTTGTTGTATCTAATTTTGTTTTTAGGGCAAATTTTAATCCGTTATTTTATTTTATAAATTGTTTTCTTCTGAATTTAGGAGCGTGTTTGTAAAGTTCATAACCCTTGGGTAAATTTTAATCGGAGTTGTTTGGTCTTTATGAGTATTTTTAAGTGTACCATACTTCATGTTTTTAATTTTTTTTTATCCACGGAATTTTTTTTTAACAATGATAAATTAACTTTTGATCATGTATTATCATCAATGTCATAATCTTCAACATGGATGAGTGTTTAATATGCTTCAAATCTGGATCATTGAAAACAAAAAACTGAGAGACTATCTTTTAAAGTAGATGCCACTAAGTCGTCGTTTTTAAGCTCATTAGACCTACTATTGAAAATGAACTTAGCTCTTTCTTTTTCCTTTTATTGTTTAATTGTGAGATCAAGAAGTCCTATGTTCTTTCAAAATTGTTTTTATGTAGTACAAGTTTTTTTTTAGTATGTAATCTTTTTTTTCTTTTCTTTCTTTCTTCCGTATAGTACAGTTATTTGTTATTTTAGGGAGTTGATGGAACATCTGGATTTCCATGGAGAGAATGAAAATAGTTCAGTGAGTATACAATACATCAGCATTGATTTCTAAATAATAGAATGACATAATGATTTTGTTTTAATTTTCAGGATGCAAAGAACATCATATTTTCTTGTACCCAATGTCCATATGTTGCAACTAGTCGAGCACAACTTTCCTACCACACAAAAGGACATTCAAAAGATTGTAATTACCAGCATAAATGTCATAAATGTTCTTACAGCGCTCCAAACAACACGATTCTCGCACTCCATGTCCGTCTCCATTGTAAATATTCCGGAGAAAATAATGAACAGTCAAAACAACCTGATGAGACCGAAGCCGATATCAGTGGAGTCGATACGTCTAAATTCCAAGATATACCAATGGTTTGGGTATCACGGCCGATGGGAATTTCGAAATTGTTCAAGTGTAGGTATTGCCCTCATATAAATATGAGAAAGAACAACATCCAAGATCACGAGAAAATGCACAATGTGAGAGCGAATTCTCAAACAATGTCTCAAATACACCCATGTTCTAAATGCAGTTATGTGTGTAATAATGCCGGTGTCTTATCTTCTCACATTAAAGTACATATGGCGCATTTTGGTCAAGTTGTAGGTGTCGTAGACCCTAGTAGGACAGATAGCGAGCAAATAGCTGAAATGAAGGCAAAACTAGCACAAAATAACACAAAAGAGTCACGTAAGCTACACAATCAACATCAAGATGAAGTTGAGAATGTGGAAAAAGAAAAAGATGACAGGATTCTTCATTTTTGCCCTATATGTCCAGCAAGATTCCTTTATGCCAAAGAAATGACAATCCACATGGGATTCCATGAACTGAAGTTACCATTTAAATGTCAGTCTTGTTCTTACACAGCAAGGCAGAAGCAACACCTTTTAGCTCATCTTAAGGTACATACAGATGAATACCAAGGGAGAACAAATGTTTTGGTAGAAAAGTATGAAGTTGCAGAAGACCATCCTAGACCAAAAGCAGCGATCATTTTAAATGAAAGTGATAAATCTGAATCGATATGGGTTGTAGTTAGGCCTGAGGAAGAGGAGAAGATCTCAGAACCCAAACCCAAAAATTATGCCTGTACCAAATGTCCCGCAGAATTTTTTAAAAGTGTTGCTTTAAATTATCATATGACTCTTCATGGAGGACAAGGTCCACATAAATGTAAGAGCTGTGATTATGCTGTTAAAACATATGGAAATCTAATAAGACACGAAGCAGTCCACCAAATTGAAAGGGGTAATAAGCCCCATAAAGGAAGATACAGTGATGTCCCTGCATCAGGAACTGAATTGTTTAAACAAAAGAACGAGGCATTAGCTGCAGCCCAAAAATCACCACCTAAACAACTGCAACCTACTCCTTTGATCACTGATCCCGAATTTGGCGTTTTAATACACGGAAGTCCAGAATTTATTTATCCTACCTATTATAAAAATGGCAAACTTAAAGAAAAGAGGTACAAATGTCACAAATGCCCTTCAGCATTTGAGAAAAGAGAACAGTACAAAATACATTTATCCCTGCACGGTTCTAAGCAGAGGTACAACTGTGAAAGATGTGATTATTCTGTTAAATATTATGCCAATTACAGTCAACATATGAAAAAACATGATCAGAATGATGCCAGTCAAAAGGAGAAAAAGAACTGCAGCAGTGATCGGAGTGAAGATGCAGGTGAAGAGATGGAAGTCAGCGAAAATGAACAACCGTTGACTACACCCATTATTTTTGAAAGAAGCAGTAAGTCATTAAAGTTGTCGGTTGCTGATCAGCAAGCAATGATGTTGATGCAACAGAGGAATATAGCCAAACCTGTAAATGAAAAAGAAATCATCAGCCGCTGCCCTGAGTGCCCGTATGCTAATAACAGAAAGGACGGTGTTAATAGTCATATACGATGTCATTCAGATGCAAAAGGTGGTCAGTACACTTGTAAATATTGTAATTATAATGTTCCTCAGCCTCACTTCCTTAGAGAGCACTTAAAAGTCCATTTTAACCCATTAAAATACCTTAAGCCTGAAGCGTACATGAAAGTGGATAAACTTGAGATTTGGGCTGAACCTCTAGACCCAAATCACAATTTCAACAAATTTATGGTTTTTAAAGATCAAGGGGAAAATTTTAATAGAAAAGACAGATTTCTTCCCAAAAGAGAGATCGATTTCGAGGGCATTAAAGGACGCGTGTACATAAATTTAAAAACTGGTGAAGAAGAAGTCGAGTTGGATGATGAGGAGAAAGACGATCAGTCTGATATATCAAAACATGAAAACATTTTAAACAGCAGCAATGAAGAAGAGGAAGAGGACGACTGTGAACACGAAAGTAGTGAGTTGCCATTTGAAAATGGGATTAAAAGTGGAAAAGATGAAGAAGAAAACAACCAAGATGGTGATGCACATAATGTAGAAATTACTGTCAATGTTGGTTCTAATAATTTAGATATGGAAAAGAGAAAAGCGAATCACAATTTATGCAATTCAGATAGTGAAGACAGCTGTGATTCCTCTGCTAGCTATTCTTCTTGCTCGCAGTTAACAAATGGAACCAATAATCAAGACTGAAAACTGTTACCCTGAGACATAATTTCATCTCAGTTCTATTATCAATGTTTTCTTATTTTATCTATGTGTATACTGGATTATATTTATTATTAAGTCTTGTTGATCTAAATAAATATTTAGTTACCATATTGGTTTACAAAAGCGTTTATAGTAACGTAGTTAGGTATACATATTTTTTTAGTCATTAACTACAGTATTAGTTTTATTTTTAAATGTTCAACCATTCCTAAAAGTAATGTTTCAAAAATCTCTAAATGGAGTTATTGATGTATAAATTGTATGTATCTCAATGTTCATAACTTACAAATTTTAATGAGAATGTAAATAAAAGTGTTAAAGTTTGCACTATTAATTACCATTTACCTTTTTATATTAGTAACATAAGTTTACATATACATATATTTTGTTTAATACTTTTAACAGATTGACTGCATCCTATGATTGGCCACTAGGTTGCCCATGGTAGGGGGGGGGGATTATCACGTAAAATAGCTCTCTGGCACCAGAATACTAATGTAAATGTTATTTTTTTGACATTTACCAAAGTAATAAAAATTATATGGCGCAAGAGTTGTGATCCCTAAAGTGCTAAATAAAAAAAAATAGGCAAACCTGCAGTGTTGGTTGAATGGGGGTGTGTAGTTTGAACAAGTCATTTCTACATTTAAAATATTTCAATTTAACTGAATGAAATTGAATTGAACCTCAAAATGGGTAAATAATTAATTAAAATAAAACAATACACAGAAAAGCACATGGTTTTCACAGAATAAATAATGAGGCAGCCATAGGAATTGTGTGGTCCGTTACTTGATGAATATTAGGAGGTCGTGAGATGCGTCTGGTCCGTGGTGTTCCAGGCCACATCTCATGACTTCCAACATTAATTTTTATGATTATTTATTTTCAGTTAGAGTATCAAACTGAATTTAATAAAATTGTAATTGTTAGATTGTGACCATTTTTAAGCTGCAGCATTTCAAAAGACCAAGTTGCAGCAGAAACTTTAAAACTCTGCAGCACTCTTTTATCTTTTAACAAAACCAGTTTTCCTATTCAAATGAATAGTTCTGAGCAATAGAAAAAAAGCATGAGTGTGAAAGTCATCAAATTAACTAAACTTTATTATTATTATTTTGCTGTTTCTAAAATTTATTTCTAAGATGTGTACTTGTAAGGGGGCTTTAAACACTATTTGTACCTTAAAAGTAAATAAATAATTTATAAATGTGACTATTTTTTAGTTTTATGTATGTATACAGGGTGACCGACTTTATGTGCTCCACCCGCTTTTTTCCCACGTTTTCAGGAGACTAAGCACTATCAAGCTTAGTCTCCTGAAAACTTCAAAAAATAATTTTTTAAATCGGATATGCTTTTCAAAATTTATTCTCAATTTTGTACAAAAATTAAATTAATCCCTTAACAAAACACCTTAAAAATGTCTCAAAATGTTCTTAAAAAGGTTCACTTTTATATAAAAAACAAAAACATTTTAAATATTTGTATACTATTTTATTACAATCTTGTTGACAATGCCTGTCGTTTTTAAGCCGAGGGATCCTTTTTTCATTTTGTCTACCTTTCATTAAAGAACCACATACTGACAATACATTTGTTGACTAATTTTTTAATATTAATTTTCTTATTTTATTTATTAATTCATTTTGTTGGTAATTTAGAAATACAACTTTTTAAAAAGTTTTTGTTTTTCACATAAAATGGAGGAAATTTTATGGTGTGGGCAACTTATTTTTCACACAAAATTGAGAATAAATTTTGATATGCATGTCTGATTTAAAAAATTCTTTTTTGACATTTTCTGAAGACTAACCACTATCAAAAATGTGGGAAAAACTCAGTCCAAGTTGGAAAAAAAAAGTTTGTGTATACTACAATATTTAGAAAAAAATCTGTCTGGATTAACCAAAATGAAGTACATCAAAAATCATGAAACGCACATAATGTTGGTCACCTTGTATATATAAATTATATAACTTCTTATTGTTATTAAGTTTTAAAAACTTCAAGAGTTACATTGAAACTTAGCCTACACTGATGTTAACTAGACTAAGAATATTTTGTTTTTAAAATAAAGACAATTTAATAATCTGGAGAGTGGTGACTACAATACTCTGCTAATTTTACATATAAAATAAACAATATTATAATTATATATAGCATATATACTTTACCTAATTATGTAATATGTTTTTAGGTAAAATGTAAAATTTTATTTTGCCTCTAAAAAGAGTTTTTTGATTTGACATTAATACTGTTCTGGACTTGTTCAAATTTTAATTGGAAAAACTGCTAATTTTTCATGGTATATTGATTTTCTATTAGTAAGAGTGTCTAAATACAAATACTGTAATTACATACCATTATTGTACTTCCCAAGGCACAACCGATACTTTGAATCACTACGGTTTGCATACTACGCTCTCTACAATCCACAGTTGGAAAGTATGAACAGAGTGCTGTGCCTCTATGGTTATTGGTTATCTCCGGTTTTTGATACTTTCGCAGTCTGTGGTTGGCTTGTTTGGATTCGAATTTCCAACTTTTTATCGGCGACAAACAGCGTGCGAAATTTTATCCGTTGTCGTCTGACGTCTAGCGTAAAATGCCGTACGCCAACCAGCCTTCCGTCCACGTTTCAGATTTGACGGACGAGAATGTCAAATTCTACATAGAAGATACAGAACTAAGGTTTGATATTCGGTGTACATACTCTCCAACTTTACATAAACAAAAACTCAGGGCCTGTTTTCTTAATGAATACAATGCAAATTTTAATTACATGCTATTAAATGAAACATGAACAAAGGTGTAATAATAAATCCCCTATGTTACAACTAAGGTTGCATGCGTTTATATTGTATATTTACTATATTCATATATACTCAGACAAAAAAAAACAACTCGATACTTTTTATATATCTTGTTTATATATATAACTTGTTTATATTTATAGTGCTATTAATCTTTTTACGCTATTTAGATTAAAAATAAAGAAAATCAGTTCATTTTCAAACTTTGGGTGTTCTGATGATAATATTTCATTTTGATGAATCTGCTGTATGCTTTCCACTGGTTGGAGATTATTGTGGTCACAAGTCTCACATATTTCATTATAAGTGGTAAGAGGCTCACAGCATCCCTTTTATTATTAGTACCAAGTTCAAAACAAAATTCTCTGGTGCTCCGTTCAATTAAACCGAAAATACACCGTCCTTTGATCAATCTGCCTCGGTTGTATTTTCTCCTGACCACCTTCGATTCATCAATTTCAACAATTGAGCCTGGCCCACCAATTGTTCAGAATTTTGATTTTCGGCCCAGAACTTACAAATCTCCCGACAATAAGATATCCAATCGGAGATCGTAGATGGAGATGTAGCAGTTAATTCATCAGAGGTTTCTTGTATGAGGATATTATTAATTTGTGATATTATGGGCTGAGTAATAATTTACTTACATTATTTATTTGTAATGCCATTGATGTTTGGCAAAAAACGATTTATCATGGGATTGTAAACCTCTTTTGTGGTATCTGAATTCAAATGACCTACGCTGCAGCTAATGGGGTGGGACATAAAGGCATATGCAAGGTAAGTCATTATTCTTGAAACCACTGCAATGCACTAAACTACTATTGTATAGCTGTTGGAGCTTCATCGTGAATGTTGAAATATTACACAGGCTTCCCCACCATTTGTTGTCTATAACGTTTCTTGTTTTTTCCTAATTACACCAAACTGTAGAGCCTTATCTTTTGTCTCAACCTCGTAACTTTCGATCAAAGTAGAATAGCATTGTCAGCTACTTTGGTATATACACAGTGATTAACTAAATATACACATTGATCCATCCACAATTAAGGGGTCAAGACGTGATAAAAGACTGATAAAAATTAGGAGGCAGTACTGTAGTTTTCGACTAGGGAAATTCTATAATACTGCTCCTATTTTATTTAAAATCAAAAATATCCCATTTAACTCTAATGAAACCCTGTTAGAAAGCATCTTTAGTTGTTTCCAAAAGCCACCTCAAATATCAAAAAACGTGTTTTTTAGTAATCTCTTCTCCAAAATGGGGGGGGGGGGCAGTACTATAGGACACCCCAAACTTTCCAGAGCCATCTTGGGGGAATTAATCGGTTTTTTAAATTCTTTTCTTAAAAACATAGTTTTATGTAGATAAGATATTGCTTTGCTTAATGATGGACATATATAGCCCAAGTGGGGGGGGTGCAGCACTTTACCATCCACGATGGTCAGCAGTCAGCAGTGGTTTTAGGCCACTGGAAGTCTTGATGGAGAGAAGATAGTGGTCAACTGTGGCTAGAGATGATGGTTTTATTGCTCTTACCACACTACAGAACCGTCATTTAACTGCTTCCTCGAGAAGACTCCAAACAGTCTATAATGTAAGGGTTAGCTCTAAAACAGGCTTCATGAGAACCGCTTAGTCTCTTGACATCCTGCATCAGGTTCTCTACAACTGGAGAGGCATTGAGTGGAACGGTGGCTATTCGCAAATCAGCATCTCGTTTGAACACTTGAACGATGGAGGGCTGTTCTTTTCCTAAATGAGTGCTGGTTTAGTAGGTAACAATCAGATGCCTGGGGCTGTGTGTGGAGAATGCCTTGCTTTGAGTCGCAGCCTTTTCAAAAATGGCCAGTTATGGTATGAGGTGGAATCAACAACCATGCCCACACAGAACTGATTATCATACAGATTGGATCTTTGACTGCACTAAAGTATATTTCTTAGTTATTTATAGTTCTTCTGGGAGCTTCCCATTTGGTCCATTCATTTTTTGGTGACAATTTTGTTATAACACATACGATAGTGCTCATCCACATGTAGTTTGAGGATGTATTGGAAGATGTAGGGACCACCACCTTAATAAAATCATTTTTTCAACTCATGAATTTCTGATCCTGTTTAATTTGGTTTAAATTAAAATAAGTATGTTGTAATTAATATAATGATAAAAATACATATAGTTTTATTTATGAGGTTTGCAGTAAGTCTGTTGTAAGTTGTAAGTCGGTTGATGTCTCTTGTGCAATACTCTTTGAATGTATATCAACCCTCGGGGTGTTGGTTTGTGAAAAAAAAAATGTCAGGTTAAAATGCAGGGTCATTAGATTCGATCCCAAGACCATTACCTTACAGTGATGAGCTCTATGTCAATGCGTAAATCGTTGCAGACACCGACACCCCCTGAGTGTGTATTTGAAAAGCATGTATAAGAATTTAACACATCAAAAGATTTACTTTAAAAGATTGTATCAATTTTTTGTTAATGCATTGTGTTTTTAGTGTTGCGAATAGTCTTAGAAGGGTGTTTATCGCTGAAACTCCCACCTTGGCAATTGATTGGGTTCAGCTCGAGGCTAATTCAACTGTGTTGAGCGATGAGTTTATCGCCTCCAGGGTTGGCCTGATCCCTTTGACATCAGATGATGTCGTAGACAAATTAATATATTCAAGAGTGCGTTTTTATAAATTGAACTTGTTTTATATTCTTGTGTTAATTGTTTGATTGTTTGTAGGACTGTTCATGTCCAGACTTTTGCACAGATTGCAGCGTTGAATTCAATCTCGACGTCAAATGTGTCGATGATCAAACCAGGCATGTCACGACGGCAGATCTCAAAACGACAAACTCAATGGTCGTTCCAGCGACGAGCAAAAACAAAGATGCAGACGCCAACGAGTATGGAGAATCTGATGGTAATTGAAAGATCGGCTGCTGAACAATTGTTCCATTCTCTAATTTTTTTTGTTTAAAATATTTTTTATTTAGATATTCTTATTGTGAAACTTAGAAAAGGACAGGAATTGAAATTTAGAGCATACGCGAAAAAGGGGTTTGGCAAAGAGCATGCAAAATGGAACCCAACGGCTGGAGTTTGTTTTGAATATGATCCAGATAACTCGATGAGGCATACGCTGTTCCCCAAACCGGACGAATGGCCAAAGAGCGAATATACAGAGCTGGATGATGAACAATGTAATTTATTTCATGTAAGATGACTTTTTTTTAAATAATTTAATTTGTGTATTTTTAGTTGAGGCCCCTTTCAATTGGGAGGCTAAACCAAATAAATTTTTCTTCAATGTCGAAAGCTGTGGATCTCTCAGGCCAGAGACAATTGTCACGAAAGGAGTTGAAATTTTAAAAGGGAAATTATCAGATTTGCTTACACAATTGACCCAACCGGACCCGGAACCAACAAATCCAGCAGAATTTTAAATTTTATTTGTATTTTTTTTACTTATTAAATTACTTTTAAGCAATATTTTTCTTTAATGGCCAGTACCAATTATACATTCCTATCAATTTAAAAAATTATTTAATTCTTGGCATTATGTGCCAATTACAACACAAGCTTTTAATAAACTTATTTTATTTCTACATCACTTCATAAAATTATTTTATACAGTCAATTATGGTCATTTTGGACTACCTAACTTCAGTTTTTTAGTCTATTCAGTTTTAATAAAAAATTTGTTTAAAAAAGTACTGAAGATGGCAACTAGGCAAAATGCAACTGACAGATTAGTGTTCAGAAAGCATCAAATTACAGGTTCATAACTACGCTTGCTTAAAGTGACCACATTTTCATTGAGACAAAGCGGGACAAATGAGATGAAATAAGAATTAAAATTTAGTTTTATATATTTTATTGTATACATTCATATACTTGTACAAAAATGTATTTATTATTAATTATTGGTAACTATAAAAATATTTGTAAAAAATAATAATTTGAACATCATGATTTTTAATCAAAATAAAAAATTTTATTTAAAAAAATTATGATTTCCTTTCACGGTCATATTTTTGATCCGAGTGAATACTTTGCAATAGATTCGGATCATTTATTAAAATGTCGTGAAATATTTCACATGAATTGGTCAAATTATATTTTACACTTAATACAGATTTTAAAGTTTTAATGTTCAACTGCGTTTTTTCAGTTGTCCATATTTTATTGATACTAGAAAAAACACGTTCTGTTGCTGCATTTGTTCCTGGAAGGGAGAGCGCAAATTCTATAATTTTCAAAATATTTTGATAAGGAATATTATGCTGTTTAAATTGAAGGAATAACTACGTCCATTTTTGTCTGTTTCCACATTTGCAGACAACCAACATTTAATTTTTTCATCTGTAACATATCTTTTTACCAATGACACCTCATCAAAAAGATCATTTTCGCAAATATTATTTTTCGGAAAATGGTTACTAATATATTCAAAAGATTTTTCCACATATTCCCATAAAATCTCCTTTTTTGTCACCCAATGAAAATTTTTAATATGTTTGAATTGAACTGTCCATTCTTCAAGATATTCCAAGCAGTTATTATAAAAATTTTTGACGTTTCAGAAAATCAGGTCATTTAATGGCACCTTGTTCTTCCAACCTAGTGATGTCTTTTCAAATAATTAAAGGAATGTAATCGTTACCAATTCTTTCTTGTAATTTTGTTTTTAAATTATTGATTTCATTTGTCACTTCCGTAATTGAAATTTTGTCCCCTTCAATAATTTTCACAGCACTGTCTAACGGCAGTCCGCACTTATCTGAATTTAGCCGAGACGTAATGACAATGATCGAACACCACCAAGTAAATCTAACTCGGTACATGCCTAATTTAGTTTACTCTCCATGCATTTTATGTGGTTTTTTAATGAATTTTTTATTTCTTTATATTCACCATAATACTTAATAAATAATAGGTAATATATTTTTACAGTACATTTAAAATAAGAAATGCAGATATTTTCTAAAAAGCGGGACATTTTTAAAAATCGGCGGGACGCGGGACAGTCCACCAAAAAGCGGGACTGTCCAGCCAAAATCGGGACGTGTGGTCACTTTACGCTTGCTTCACAATTTAAGGTTAAAATGCAGTAAAAATTGATGTTGAAAAATTGAGTTTGACCATTCTTTCTGGATTTAAGCCATTTAAATTAAACTGAAAAAAGTATACTTAATAAACAAAAAATTTCTTTTCACTAAGTAAGCAGAACACCGAAATTCAGATTAGAGCTCCTGTTTAAAAAAAAGAAGTAATTTTTCGCTCAAGAGACACAAACAGAAAGATCAATGTTGCCAAGAATAAACAGACATCTGACCTTGTGACTGTGAATGTGCATTTGAAAAGGCAATTTTTCTAAAGAAATTGTTCAAAGCAACACTTAGGAAAGAGGTTTAACTTTTGTTTAAAATGTTTGGCCATATCAGATAGTACTGTACTCTTTATCCTTACTGACAGACCATAGCAGCAAGGACAGATGAAGATGTTCAGAAACAACCAAGCTAGAACCACCCTCCAGATTTCAACAAGAAATCTCACTCTTCGAGTACCTTTACATGTTCACTGTGTTCATTTTAATCTGCCTATCTTTGCTGTTTTGGACTGTAAGATGTGTTTCAGCTGCTTGCCATCATCAGTGGTTTGTGTAAAATTGTTACTATAAGGATTCCAGCTAGGATTACCCTGAGGGTCTCACAGGTCGCAGGGTTAGTAAGATTTTAAAAATCGTCAGGACATTTTACAAGCACAGCAGACCATAAAGAAAATCCATTTCAGAGATACAATTAAATATATTTTAGTAGTAAAATAATTGTTTTAAAATATTAACACAGCAGATCTGAGCATTAAAAAAAAAAAAAAAAAAAAAACATTCTGACAAATTCATTAGAGTTCGAAAGGTGGGGTTGAGCTCATGTGGTAGGGCAGCGGCAAATTTAGCTGAGGGGTCGTGGGTTTGAGTCCTGCACATGCCATTGACATTTTTATCTCAACCAATACCTTACATAGAGATTAATTAATATTCTAACAAATGATTGGTTGAGAAGTTTCTATTAGAAACTATCTAAAGTTATTAAAGAATAAAGATAGTCTTAAACTGTAATTAGTTTTAAAAAAAAATTCACTTAAAAAAGGATAAAATAAGGATAACAAAACAACTACTGATATAAGGAATTTATTTGATGTAACAAAATTTCAATAATCAACAAATCATTCAAACTATCAATTATTTTAACACGGAACCAATTTATATAATATGAGGTTTTTTGCTTCAAAAAATAATATAAATTATGTACATATTTTAAAAATTAATTCTCAATTACTCTTGTTTTAATAATAATTAGTTAAAAAATAATGATATTGTGGGGAAAGAGAGAAGTCATTTATAGTGGTTAAAATTAGACTTATAAATGTAGTTCTTTTTAATTTGTATATACAAGTGCAAGATTCCCTATTAATAGATATAAGCAAAAATAATATATTATTTCCTCTTTATAGTACATTTAAGCGCGCACGCATAAATTTTCTAAATTATTTCTTTTTTTTCTACTTACAGTTTGCTAATTTACGTTTCATTTGTTACAAGTTCATACCCTTTTACTAGTGTTGCAGTAACATTTGTTGTCACTTCTATAAGTGACCAACCTATAATCAGGAACAGTTGAAGAAGAATAAAATCTAGTTTTAATTTTTCTATCTGCTATAGGTTTACTTCTCTCTGGTATAGTTTATGAGTCTGATTTAAACACAATAAAAAATCAAAAGAATACTGTACTACACAAAACAGAAATATATTATTAATACTTATTCGATTAAAATTTTAGCAGAAATCATAAACTAAATAAATTATTATAATGGTAAAAGCATATTAATAATATAACCAAATATAGTTATTTATAGGTACAAATGGGTTTAGCTCACAACCAAAAGCCAAATAATAAAATTTAAAAAAAGGAAAAATGTAGGGGTTGGAAAAACACTTTTTGAAAAGCAATCTTAGAAGAAATTTATTGCTTGTTTTATTTAATTTCAATGCGGTACGGATAATTTTTATTGCTGAAGTTATTTTCTCTAAATTATAATGGTTTCAAAAAAAATTAAATTTTAATTATGTATTAAAAATATAATGTTAATGAAAGGGACTGTTTCATCTCTCCAGCCTCCTTGTGGACAGTCGGTTATTAAATTATATTTATAAATTTATATTTTACTATATGGTTTTTATTTAATAGTTTTTAGTTCAAGTTAATCCAGTCTCACATAATATACAAATCATCCTATCTGAAAAAATGGATTTTTTAGCGTTTACTTTTTCTGCCTCTTGATTGTTTTAAATGTATATTTTTTGTTTAAGGAAGTAGACTCGTTAAAAATCTGAAGACTACAGCTTGATTACTGCAAAGCACTGCAACACTTCAACAGCAGTAATACTTTTGGCTACAACGAATGCCAAAGTGCCATTCAAGTGATTTTAAGACTATACACATTAGTTACTGTACAACCTGACAGGCCATTGAACAATTCCTACTTTTGCACAAAGAAAGTTCTGAAACATAATCAGTTATAGATTATCAATTAAATGAACAACTTTTTTAAAAAATAACAGATTTTGCTAACACATACGTGCTAGTGATCAGGTATGGGCTTCAACTCCTTTATTTGTTTTATGAGGTAGGCCTTTTCATCGTTGAACTGTTCATCCTCGGATCTATCTGTATGGAACCTCGTGAGGAATTCCACTAACTTGTCTTGATTCCGCAACAGGATATCAAGAATGGGTTTCGGCTTGTTAGGATTGGCCACAAAAACCTGGAAAAGAAGTTGACATTTTTTATTTATTTATTGAGTATTTATTTACCTTAGAGTTAACGGATTAATGTTATCTTTTTATCTTATGGAAACAAACATTGCTAACACTAAAACAACAGCTTATATCAATATTAACTATTTTTTGTGTGTAAAGTTTGGGAAAATGGTTTAAAAGTGGATGACATGGTTTTTACCCCTGGCCACTCAACTTTCAGCATGACTCCTTATCTTTAATTTGTTTATTTTATTTATTAAGCATCCTTCAAACTAAGAAAGCTCCAACCAAAGGCAAACAATCAGATTGTTGAGTTGCGTGTGTACTGTGTATATATATATATATATTTTTTTTTTTTCAAATTTCGACTTTCATCCTTTTAAAAGGCGATCCATTATTGCCTGCTAGCCCTGTTAGCTCTAGAGCGAGAAAAGATTGTTAAAAAAAGGATAGTTGATCCCAAAAGTCAGTCTAGCATAAACTGCGATGCACACTACATGATTTATATGGAATTTATTGTTATAACTGAGCAGTAACTGTAGTCCCGATGTTTTCATCAAAGACCAACCTCATTGAGGAACATCTAATAATAAAAGCAGTGACTTAGTGGTATTGGAAGATGAGGGCAAGTTAACTGTAGTAGAGCTATAAGAGATTTCAGGTACATCACACTACAATAAGAAAAAGAATCAAGGTTATGTTGTGAAACTTGGAGAACTTATGAATCATCCTCAGGAACAAGGAAGACTGCATGGCTCGTGTTTTACATCTGAATAGAAATAAATCCAAAGGGTTTACTTGCTATTTGGTCACTCGGGATGAAGGGTCCTTTTGAAAACTATTAAATGCCGAAGGTCTGTTTGCATAAAGAGTGAAACACACCGTCGACATCAAGAGCAGGATTGCCCCCTCTTAAGGTCCTATTGTTTGTTGGGTGTGATAATGAAATAATAATTTATTAGGAACTGAGACCATACACCGTTATGCCAGAGGTACACTGTGTGCAGCTAGAGGGTCTTGGGTCAGTGTTGGAAGAAAAACAAAATCCAGCCCTGGTGAATAGATGCAATGTCATGTTTCACTATGACAAAGCCAAGTCTCACACGGTTGCACACACTCAGAGAAAAATTGAGTTAGGCTGGCAACAAATGCCTCCAAACCTTACCCCATCTGACCTTTTCTTGTTCTGCTCCCTATACAACCTCTTACAAGGTAAGGAATTTTTGAATGAAAACTCTCTGAAAATTGGACTTAAAGATTTCTTCCCACCTAAGTGTCAGACTTTTACAAAAATGGATATTTCTGCTACTAGAATGTTGGCAGAATGTTACAGAAAACTAAGGAAATTATGTTCAGATTAAAAATAAAATACATTTATATTTTGATTTTTTTTTTTTTGAAAAGAGAAAAAATTTATGTACACACCCCATACAACTGTTAACTTTTTTAAATTTGAGAACAATACTGAAATTTATAACATAATAAAGCTTACCTTAAAAACGTGGAAAGCTTCAAATTGAATATTTCGTGATTTCTCTTTAAGCATGTTCATCATTAGTTTCAGGTTGTCTGGGTTTGATATGTACCTAGTCATCACCTGGAATAAATCAATGTATAAAAAGTCCCTTTTAACCAGTCAAAATTTAATTTATAGTCTTACAGTGAAATTGTGTCTGTCTAGGAGGAGTTCTCCAAGAAGTTTAAGACTTTGGCGGCGTGTAACATAATTTTCTGAATTCAGCAGGCGCTGGTAATGCGAAAATACTTTGTCGTAGTTTTGTTCTAGAAACTCTGCGCATAACATTTTATGCCTAGTCAATAATTCCTGCAATCAAAAATAGATTATATTAATAAAATGGAGTTTTTTCGAGCTGACTAGCTTATCCAAGTCGTACTTTAAATGTTGAGAATGCATCAGATGCGATGTCAAATGTTGAGACTTCTACATAACGGAAAAAATTGAAAAAGTCTTCAGAATGAAGCATGATTTTTGCTAATGCTTCATATCTAGCACACTCCCTTAACATGGTCCCACAGTTTAAAGCAATTTCTTGATGTTCATAACTTAAAAAAAAAAATCACATAATAAATATTTGCATTATGGAAAGTTAGTAACAAAAATAAAAAATCAAACCCATTCATAAGTGTGAATAAGATTTCAGGCTTTGTACATATGTATTCCACTGTAGGTGATCTTGTTCCTATTTGACGCCTTAGGATATTGTTGAACACTTGTGCTACATCTTTTTTCCCCTGATAAACAAACTTCTTTTAAAAAACCCACTACAACAAATATACTCAATAAACTTGACTATTATAATCAATACACCACCTCAAAATCTATCCTATTAAGGTTTTGTATTAGCATCAATAACAAATTGCTATTGTATAGCTCTTGTGCCAACTGCGCAACAATTATGTCAGTTTGAGGCTCTGTGTCCGACGTCCCATACAGCATATTTTTAATTAGCACAAGATTTTTACTCACATCTTCCTGAGCCTGAAATTCATCAATACATTAATATTTTTATACAACGCTTTTACCTATATACCAATACCTTTTCAACTTTTTTATCACCCCTTTCCAAGGCATTGACTGCTTCTTTTAATGCCTTTACTACCTCTGCAGGGCTCTTCTGTGATTTTCCAAATAAAGGCATTTCTCAGCTGTCTGGAAACTAAAAAAATTGCCTGTCATATAATGATAAACTAAAAATACCTTATTCATGTAAATGCATACATTAATAGATAATTAATTTGACTACTACTATCCAGACTATTCCACTAGTAATGAAAAACAGGTAAAATCAATTTTAATTTAATTTTGAGGTAAGAGGGATGACAAACTTAATTCTTGTTTGCTTCCTTAATAAACTGTGTAATTCTTTAAAGATGTTAATAAACATGAAAAAGTAACAAGTAACTTAAGAACCAATTGACAGTTTACTGCTTACTAATTTATATAAGCTCATATTTGCTGATGCATGTACAGAGTTCCTGCGATCAATTGGCAATCCCAACTTTTCTCATTTACAATAAATTACTGGAGGCCTCGAAAATCACCAACTTAAGTGTTGACAGTCTGGGGTCAGACCTCGTCTTGTCGTCACCGAGGTTGAGCTTCAGGGTCTATCAACAGCTAGATCATTTCATCCCTCCATACAGTTCCTAAATCCATTCACATTCTCACTCACGCTTAAATACATTCTTCTTCCATTCACTCAGTTAGGGTATGTAGTGTTTGATATTCCTCCATCGCCCTTTACACCTATTATAAAACTAACTTAATTGGGGGGGGGGGTCAGCGGGGTACTCAACATTCTGGTATTGAAGAAGAAGCAGCATGCCAAGTATCGAAACAGGGGACCCAGATACTCGCTGACGTGCTCAAGCACAATTCTCATATGAGGTGGCATTCTTACACGCTCTCTATATGGAGCCAAAGAATTGCACCCTTCAATTAAGTGAGACACACTGACCTTTCACTACACGCTGGAGAGATAAACAGGCTTTGGCCCAAAAGTAATTGTCCGTGTATCAACCTCGCTTGGCCACCTATTTTGATAGTGCTCTTGATATGCAAGTGCTTCTCTACCGAGCCCAATGAAGCTGCGATTTCTTTAAACCATGTTTCGACATTTTAATTAAATATTTGCCAAGTTATAATTAATACATAGATCAGCAAACTTTCATTGCTTTGGCATGTTATTACAAAAATAGTGATAAAAATAATGTTTGAATTTAAGTTATTTATTTTTGGAAGAATTGCCATGACCTGAATCCTTCTGATCATTTATGTGACTTAATTTTAAAACACTGTGGTGAGGTTTGTGTGGTGGTGAACCACAATTTTTTTATCTTCATTGTCCCTGATCTTGGCCAACTAAATATGATTCTACTCACAAACTGTATGAGAGTAGAACCATTTTTAACTAATATGCCGATATACTCATTCTATCATTCAGCATATTATTTTTTACTGATCTTTGTCTGTTATTTGACCAATGTGTAATTTTTATATTGATGATTTTAAACAGAATTTGTAGATTAGCAGTTTAGGTTCATTTCAATGTGCCTTGGCTTTTGTATGACAAATGTCTTTTTGCCATCTTCAGATGAGGTTTGTGAAAAAATGTGAAGATATCTCACTTCTGTAAGAACATAGTTGGATTTTCTGTCATTGTCCCTAAATTAACTTGTTACTTTATTTTCTACCTGTCTATAGAGTTAAAAATTAACTTAATAATGATGAAAGATCCAACTCCAAAAACCTGATAAGGTGCGTCCATAATTAAAAGTTCCTAAAATTTTCTAAAAAATTCCGCTGATTTTTAATTTAACAAATGAAAACCTCATTTTCACTCGTAAGTTTTATTTAAATCAGATAAAAGCTTCCAATCGTATAGAGTAGTATTTGTTAGTTCTATTTAATGAGAAATGTTCCAGACAGTAATGAATCGTGTTTAACTCAAAATGCCTGATGGTTTATGAAATAACCTATGAATATTTAAGTATTATGTTTCAATAGGTGATTAGCATGTCATGCAATGCAAAACACTCAAAGAAAACAGACAAACTAGGCCATCCACATGGATACGAGGAATTAAAAAAAAAAAGATAAAATTAACATTTTTAAAACAAAAACATTGACATGATAAAATGAAATTGAGAAATTTCGTCTAGGTGTCTGCAGTGTGATGAGTTATTTCCAATTGTTCTGTACTACCAGGGCTGAAACTTAGGCAGATGGTAACAGAGACACAAAACATGGCTGAAAACAGGTAAACCATAATGATTGGGAAAAATAAAACTACATGAAAAATTAAAACAATATTAAAAAAGTTTATCAATAGAAGTTTAAAATTCAAAATAAGGTGCAGCAACAAATACTCTAACATAAGACCGATACATCCTACAAAGAAGCAATCTTGGATGGGACTTTTTATACCGATTATATTGCTGACTTTCCTTACATACCTATATCATCATTTCCACTTTCTAATTTGAATCTTATCGGAAAACCTACAGCATCAAAGAACACCTTGAGCTTATCTCAGATAGGAGCAAAAATTTAAGGAAAGACTGTATGAGGTAAAATGTACACAATGTATATTTACAGTGGGAAAAAAAAGGCTTGCCATCCACTATACATTAATAACAAGGAGCTACCACCTTTTACTCAAGACAGCTCCTATACAGAAGACTGGTGAGGAATGAAATGACAAGACCTAAGAGACAACAACTTTATAAAAGACATGGACAACTGCAAAGACTTTTAGGATTGACTTATTTTTTTACTGTGAAAACACAATTTGCCCTGTAAAAGATATTACCACAACCACTTTGGACATGTGTAGAGAAACTGTTGGGTTCAACCAAGCCATTCGACATCCAGTGCATCCAATCATTCCAATTAGGAGTCCTCAGACAATTTGTCAAAACACAAGGGACTGCGATTGGCAAATGGTTAGGACATCCGACTCATATTTGCCACATTAGTGGTTCTGGGTTTGAATCCTAGCAGAATCCATAAAATTTTAATTGATAATAGTATAAAAATTATATTGTAAAGAGGTTTGACCTCTTGTCCGCGACACTCAACATCAAGCTGTCCTGTATGAGAGGAATTATATTAACGAGCTGAAAGCTAGATTGGACCATTCCACATTTCACTCATAAAATATTCTATAATGTTAAAATTAAATATTTTTAATATAATAGTTTTCTCTAATTAAACCTATGTACTTCGAATTAAAAATATAACACACAAAACAAATGGGATAATTAAAAATTACTACATTTTTGTAAAATGTTTTTATCAAAATCACAGGTGCTGAGGTTGGTCCCCTCTAGCTATCAACTCTTCAAATGTCAAGCTCGTAATATCAATATCCACAATGACCTCAACATTCCTTTTGTCAATGAAATGACCCAACCCCACTTGTAAAACTTCACATTAAGCTCTTGATCCATCCCAACCATACTGTCTGTGCCCTCTCTACACTATTCCATCCTGAGAATCTGCTACATCGCCTCAAAGGACCTCAGCCTCAAGACTTCCTCGCCACTTAAACTATCATATTGAGTACCGGTGTTGGTTGGTTGGTTTCTCTTAACCTGTATCCTCTGATTGCAGTGCTGGCCAGTGGTGTGACCGGGAGGGAAAAACATGCACTTATTTGTAATATGTAAACGCTACAAATAAATTATTTAAAAAAAAAAAAAAAAAAAACGAGTCAAAAATAGAGTGTGTGTGTTCTGAATAACAGACACATAAATAAAATATCAATTCACAATCTAAAAAAAAAAAGATCAATCCAAAATTTTTGCATATTAAGCTAAACTAGGCATGATGATATGATCGGGAAAGTTAAAGTGCTATCGAGTGTATTGAGAACTGCAATGTTAGTAGTTCTTGTTTAATGTTTAAACACCCAGCTTATCATTTTAATCAAATATTTGCCTTGGCCACTAAAATAGAATAGGGTTTTATTGAGATGATTTACAGTGAGTAATATTTTTTTTCCCACATGACATTTCAAAACTGACGATATTGAATTAAATTTGCTGATATTGATGGTGATATGCTTAAAACAATACAGAACTAACTTATTTAATTACTTTTTTTTACTTTTTTTTAATGTGGTATTTTTAATAATGTTAATACTTGAGATTGAGGGATTTACAATGGTATGACAAGATTGGTCTGTCGGTAGTGCGACAAAACGCAGCGAAGTGAATTACTACAGCAAATGCAGACATTTTCATTGACGTCAATTTAAATTAGGTGGCAAATTTAATTCGTCCAGCGATCCCTCCACACGGGCGAAGAACAGTGCGAAAACGCCGAACAAATAAATCCCGTCTATAATATAATCCAAATAAAATTCAAGGTTGAATTCACATTTAATAATAATTCAGACGTAGTACATAAAAGGGTATGTGGCCAATTTTTACAAGTATCGCTTATACAACATACAATACACGCGATTAAAATCAAATAAAATTGTTTATAAATACCTGTGAGTTTGGATCTCTCTTATTTTTCTTTTTGTTTTGTTAATGTTGTAATTTATATTTAATAATCACTCCACCATCTAAGTAGAAAGTAGGGTATTAAACTGTTATCTAATAGCGAGGAGATGGAAAATAGTGTTTTATAGCTGGATTCGGGCCGTGATGTACTTTTCTCTCAGACGGTAGACGACTGGAAACTTGATTTTCACCGATTAAATGAAATGTCGAATGCTAAATAAACGGACTAAACTAGAAAAAAGCTGATACCCACGACCATCTTGAAGTTATCAGCAGTCGACTGAGTCAACTGGAGAAATCGTCCATTGGTCCCATGATTATCTACACCGTTCTGTATTGTAAACAGATAACGTTTTTATTGAATCTCACTTTAGTCTTCGGAGCCCTTTATTAAACTGTAAATCTTTGGGTGAAAAATGAAATTTTTATTACTTGGAAATAATTTGGAAAGGGGTTTGTTGTTGCTAGCGATTTTGGCCGGACTCCATGTTTTCAAGCGGGATGATTCAAAACCAATTCTCGTACCAAACAGGCACTGATTTTTTTAGTCTTTCAATTCGAATCTTTTTTTTTCTTTTTTTTGTCGTCATAATCGTTTAAAACTGTATTTTGTTATACACTTTATACATTTATTTACACAAATCGTTATATGAAATAGACGTTTTTATTACTGATAAAATAATCTTATACGGTTTGTTTGTAGCCCTTGAAATTTCATTATGTTTTCATGTTTTCATTATGTCATTGATATTTTTTAGTCCTACCATTGAAATATTATTATTTGTCACAATTTCCTTTATTTTTCAAATTTTCACACTTATTGAATCATAAATCATTATGTGTATTATGAAATTGTGTTATTGGAAAATAATTTGGACAAGAAAAAATTTTCCTTTGTATTTTGTTGAACTTTATACTTTCAATCTAGATGACTTAACAGCTTCATTATTCAAAAATAGTTATGTGAAATTTTTTTTTTATTATTAAAATATTCTAATTTATATCAGTTGACCATTTGCGCTACCAAAATTTTGTTACAACACAAATAATAAAGGTTGGTGAGTGTGTTTAATATTTTTTGAAAAGTTGGATCTTAATCAGAGTTTGTTGTTTTCAATGATACTGATTTCATCTTAAAGCACATCATCAGGTTGAAGGATTTACAACCACGTCTCTACATCCTGGATCGTTGAAAACAACAAACTGTGAGTAAGATTCAACTTTTTAAAAAAAGATTCCACACCATGTTTTCAAGCCATACCAAATTGACACTGGTTTTCGTAAGTACTTCATTTTAAATTTCATTATTGGTCTAACCATAATTAAAGTATTAATGGTAAATAATTTGGTTGGGACATTGGTTTGGTCTAAAAATTTTGGTTTCTTTATGTTTTCAAACATTATGATTTGTGTTATTGGAAAATAATTTGGATGAGACAATTTTTTCCTTTGTATTTTGCTTGAGCTTCATACTTTCAAGCTGGGTGATTCATGATCAAGGTGGACAAGTGATTGGGGACTCACTTTTGCCTTTTTTTTTGTGGTAGTGGTCCTGGATTCGAATCCTGGCACAGCCCATGGAATTTTAATTGTAAATAACATGGGGAAAAGTGTTATGAATGTGGTTATACCCTTTGTCCAAGTCACCAAATGGGTAGTTGGACATCAAGCCCATCTGTATGACAGGCATTATTTTACTTTTTTTAAATTCACTTAAAATATTAATTTTACAATTAAAATAATTTATGAACAGTCTATTTGCCGTTGTAAAATTTGGCAAGACTCCATATTTTCAAACCATAACAAACAGGCACTGATTTTTTTAAAGTTCATCAGTACCTCATGTGGTATGTCGATACTTGTGATGTATAATTCTAATATCTACTGTTTATTAAACATTACATTATTATTCTTATTATCAAGAAATAATTTATAAAAGCCATTTGTTTACATTTGTAATTTGTTAATTTGTGGAACTCAATGTTGTCAATTAGATCAAATGGTACATTACTCATGGTGTACATAATTGCATTCTATGAGCAATTATTATTGTTTATTAATTGTTATATGAAAGTTAAATTTTTTATTGTTAAGAAATAGGTTTGTACAGGCTGTTTGATTGCACTTTTTAAAAGTCCATTCAAACACTTGTGGCTCGCATGAGATATATGATGGCATTTTATCCATTTTTCATATGAAAGTTGTAATTTTCATGGTGTTGATTTTTTAGAACGGCACATATTAACAGAAATTGAAGGAGACAAATTGTAATTTTTTTAAAATCAACTTATCAATTATATCGATGTAAACATGAATAAATTCTGTTAGATCTTTGTAGCTGTAATTTGAAAATTAAATTAACAAAACTTTATTTTATATCTCAATATTTTTAAACTGTTTTGCCTCTGTCGTGCCATTGGCCAGCAACTCAAAAGGTTGGTAGTTCTCAGGGATCACACTTAGGCCCCTTTCTATTTAACATATTCATTCAAAATATCTGTTCTTAATGATTTCTCCTATTCGCAGAGACTTCTACCCTCCTGTATACTTCCCTTGCCTCTTCCCTATTAGAATGCTGGTCCCCCACAATAACAGTATCTATATTAAATTATTAGACCAAATTCAGCACAAATTCCTTAGGCAGAGAAGCTGCAGGAGAATGGGTTTATCCATTACAATTTTCCCAATGACGTTTATAGCAGCAACTAAGTTTAATATTCTTTGAATCTTGACATACTACGCTTGAGGCTTTATTTTTGTATAAACTTTTTAACAAGATATACCCCTACTAATAATCCCCATTATCTGAACCCAATTCTTTTCACTTTTCTCCACTCCTTCAACTAACAACCTATACTATTCACCTACCAATACTACGCAGACTTGAAAACAAAATTAATAATAATTATATTAATCATAATAATATATGTTTATTGTTATTTAATTTATGTATTTTGTTATTTATGTGTTCAATTAATAATATATGTTTATTTTATTTTATTATTTCAATTAAATATACTTTTTAAATAAAGTCTTGCTTGAGATGAAAAAGCTAGTGTTAAGTGCGGGATTTGAACCCAAATAAAATGAAAATAGGCAAAAAGAGGGAAAATTAGAAAGGTTGTACATTGAGATGAAGAGTCGCTTTCCAAGTGGATTGAAGTCATGAAAGCTCAAGTGGTTGGAGCAGTGATGTATTAAGCCGAAGTTTGTGGGTTCGAATACTGCTCGTGACACTAGCATTTTCACCTCAACCGATACTTTAGATAAAAAGTATAATCAATAATAATATCAAATTTTTTAACAACTTTCTCGACCATTCCAAAATTATTTAAAACATATCCTCTAGTCATTCACTACCTTTCCTTATATTCCAGTCATTACATATTATATATAACATATTCCTAGTTATATGCAAGTATTTTATTATCAATTTTATAAATGTACTTTTCTATTCATTATATATTTTCTATTATATTATTTTATTGTAAATTTTACATTTCTATTTTGAACATATAAATTTTTTTTGCAATTATTAAGTTTTCATTACTTAATTTGTGTTATATTGAAAAAATATCTTGACAGCTGCCTCAGTACATTTGGGTCCGTCTCTTCTCGCTGGTTTTCAGCTAACAAGCACTTTCGGTTGATTCTAGCGTAACTATCGAAGTACTGGTATCGAGACGAAAATACCACTCGATACCAACCACAGGTATCGCCTTTTTGATAAAGAGTTGGCACATGGAGGGGTGACGTGCCTGAGACAACAAACATTTTCCGACAATTGCTGCTTTTTTAAATTAGTTTTTTTTAAAAAGACAAAATGGAATATCTTTTTACTGCTCCTTTTCTATTTCTCGAGCCGCCGAATTTGAAGATAAAGAGGCCGTCATGGTTTCACCAGCCTTCGGCCATGGTTATGTATTCTTTCGTTCTTCTATCTTATTTTCTCGTCACCGGGGGTTTGTATTTTTTATTTGCGTCGAGATGAGTTTATTTAATAATTCAATAACCCGTTACAGGTATTATTTATGATGTTATAATTGAACCGCCAAGTGTAGGTTCAACGACGGATGAGCATGGTCATTCCAGACCGGTAAGATTCAATTATTCTACACTGATGGGAAAATTTAACGCACCACTCAATTTATTTAGTTTAAAATTAAATCCATTACCTTTCCACATTACAGATAATCTGGAGCTATCTTAGTCAAAATAAACTATAAATAATGCTTTGTTTACTTCCTTTAGAGCTGATACTATTTGTACAGAAATTAGCATTGTACCTTTCCATTCTGCTATGTCTAAAGATAGCTTTCTGTTGATCTTTTCCTTTGTTGATTTTATTTCATATTATTCTTATTCTTAAACCTTTTTCAATGGCTCCAGTCAGGCATTTGAGTAATCAGTGTCAGGGATTATTATTGAAGGACAGATAGAGCAGCGTGAAGCCGCCAGGAGATGGAGTGTAAATCACTACAGTAGGAAGGGTTCTTTGGCGCTTCAGAGAAACAAGGCTTCACAGTAGAAGGCAATGATAGGGTCGATCTAGGTCTACAGGAGAGATTATTGATTCATCTATCATCAGGCTCTACGAAACCTCAGCATTATAGGAAATGAGATAAATCTGATAAGTCCGAGATGTTTTGAATTCCTCCAGGGCTATAAGAAGAAGGCTCAATGAAAATAACCTCAGACCTGGCCCTGGACCTCTTCCTACCACAGCTCAGAAAATGGTTCAATTCGTACGGAAACGTGTGAATTGGACATTGGAAGATTGGGGACAAGTCTCTTTATGGACGAGGTGAGAGTAGGGGTATGCTTCTGCTGTGCATTACATGTCATCGATGTGGCATTTCCTTGGACGCCCACGCCGAATTGGTTACGAAGGTCTCTAACTTCACAGTGGTACTTGCAAGGAATAATAAAAGAACAAGTAGTGCCATTTGCCCCAACATCAGCGAGAGATTCTTGCTAATGCAGGATAATCTCAGGTCCCATAGACCACGTATTGTGGATGACTACCTGAATGAGGTTGAAATTGAGTGCTTGGTGTCCCAGCTCAAAGTCTAGATTTGAACCCCATTGAACGTATTTGGGACCAATTAAGCTATGAGTAAGACTACAAGTAATAACCAGGTCACAAAACCGTAGAAGAGTTGGAAACGGCAGTTCTTGATGAAAGGAAAAGAATTCCTCAGGATTTTATCAGAAATATTTTCCAAGGAATGCAAAGGCATTTAACCGATGTGATTCTTGCCAGAGGTGGAAATACTCGGTATTAAAGAAGACAAAACCTTATTTATTTATTGTTTTTTTTTGTTATTCTTAACCTTTTTTTTTTAAAGAATTAGGTATTAAACATGTTCTTTTAAATGTCTTATTTTTACAACAAAACCTATTTTAGGTATGTAAAATATAAAAACCCTAAATACATTAAAATTTAAGAGTGGTGCATTAATTTTATCCAAGAGTATATATTATAGTGAAAAAATACTTCATACTTTTGTACTCTTTGGCACATGTGATTTATATAATAATGTTATTACTGCATTCTTTAGGTGGCATTCATGCCGTATCGAGTCAATGGGCAATATATTGTTGAAGGACTTGCCTCTTCTTTCCTCTTTACACTTGGTGGGCTCGGGTTTGTAATACTCGACCACACGCACAACCCTATGACTCCTAAACTCAACAGAATTTTGCTAATAGCCGTCGGCTTCATTTGCATATGCGTGTCTTTCATCGCCTGCTGGGTATTTATGAAGATGAAGCTTCCGTATGTATTTCAGTTTATTGTTTTTATAATATAAACTTTAATAAAATTTATATTTATTTTACCATTTTATTTTTCAGTGGATACTTGAGAACATAGAAGTAAAGGAGTGATGGAAATGATGTGTTCAATATAAAAGTGTGAAATGTGGAAAATAAACTTTTTTTAAATATATATAAAAAAACTGTTTTTGATTTTTGGTAGTAATAAAAAATTGTGACTTAATTCTAAATTAGACTAGATTCTTGCTTTAGCTTTGTTGATTCCATTCGTTAAATCTGCATTTTGAATACACTGAAACAATTTTTATAAAATAATAATTAACATTTTGTATCAAAATATAATAAATAATAAATTTTTAGATTTATTCTGCATATACATATATATATTTTTTATTTATGTAATTATACTTACTCGGCAAAATCAGGAGACTTGTCTATAACGTGTTCAAATTCGGCAAAAGAGAGAGCTCCATCATCGTCAAGATCGGCCTCGGATAAAATGTTCTGAACAAGGTGGGCCATTTCAGCATCTGTTAACCTTTGAGGGCTGGTCAGCCTATCGATCACTTCTCTCAAATCGTTTACACCGAGCATGTCATCACCGTCAAAATCTAAACATTACAAAATAAAGTAATATGTACACATGCTAAATTTAATAATTTATGTATCAACCGAATATGCGGAAAGCATGCTCGGCTTTAACGGCTTTAGGCGTCGAATCACTGAAGACAGACATCATGTCGAGGAAATCCTCAAATGTACAATCTCCATCTTGGCTTGAGCTGAACACCTTGCAGATCCGTTCCCCAAATGGGTTGACCCTGAGCTCAGGGTACTGAAGAACCTTATTCATCGGCAGCTTAGCATTTCGGTTGTGGCCGACCTTTTCCGGTGCGAGGGCTTTGAATTTCTGGTGTACACTGAAAACCAAAACCAAATTGGAAAATGCACAAATAAATCTGGTGGGTGTTTAAAACAGGGTCTAGGTAAGATTGAACTGCAATAAATGAAAAATAAAAATGCAACATATACACCATATAATATTATATAATTATAAAGCACCAGCATTCAGGACACACTTAGGTTGACTTCGCATTTTATTAATCAGCAAATCTTGCCTTGAAAAATCCTTCACTTTCAATTTTTTTCTTCATTGACTAGAGTCAATTGTCCTCAGCAACCAAACAAAATCTATTATGGAATGGTTCTTTACATACATTCCATAGGAAGTGCAGATTCCCTTAGAAAATTATATATCTACGGTGTTTTTGCTAAATTCTTTAGGCATTGTTATTAGCAAACAAATAGTGTTGTTCTGATACTGCATATCGAACATCATTTTCTGACATGTCTTCTTTTTACTGCCTTATGATAACTCAAGTTTTTCTATTGAGTGCGATATAAACTTGTTTTCCTGTATGAATTTTTTAAATTCTGTTTAGATCAATGTGATTCATTTGATCAATTTAATTTAAAGCATACTTTGTGTTAAGCTCAATTTTTACATGTGTATTATAGTAGTGTACATTCTGGCACCAGAATTAGTCACTTTATTTTTTTTCCCCAGGTGTTGGGATTATGTAGTTTGGTCGTCTACGTTTTTTGCATCTGCCTATCTTTGCTGGTTCGGCCTGTCAGAAGTATTTCAGCTTTTTAACCCCAGCACATAATTCTAAAATTAACAAACTGCAGATTATGTTTAGCACTTCCAGATCAGCTTGAAGCTAAAGGTACTGCCTGGCTATCTTGGTACATTTCAGTACCTTTCTGAGCAAAAGTAATAATAATGGCTTTATTGAACTTAATTACAAGTTTTTGTAACAGCCTAAAGGCATGGATCAGATGGTAGGTCAGCCAGAGGCTGCTGAATTAAAAACTTGCTTTGTCAAAAATAAAAATAAAGAGTAAAATTAAAACTAATAGAGCGGCCTTATTATGGTATTTAGATGGATATAAAATGCAACATGGAGTGGTCGCTAGAGTCAAAGGCTCAAATTTTGAATAATTTAGGTAACGACCCAAAATTTTGAAATATTAAATTAATTACTGACTGCTTTTTAATTATTAAAATAACTTAAAATTACAATAATTCGTATCTGTACTTCCACACCTGAGTACATACTAAAAAAAAGTACAAAAATGTGAACATTCACCGTAACAGTGAGTTCTTGGGAAAGTAAACCAACCAAAGTGAAACAAATGACTCAAAATTTCACTTAAATTTGAACCCTGCCAAACAGTGAAATACAAGGGAATTTCCTAAGTACATATTTCCTTTGCCTGCAAGGTACAAACAGCCTCTTAAGACAAAATGAAATAAAACCTGACCTAAGAGAAAGCTATCATATTCTAAAAAGTATAAAAATAATATGATAAAATGAAACTGAAAGAAAATGACGTACTATTCCAAATAAAAATAATAGTCGAAGATGTTTGGAATAATAAAAACCCTAGAACTATTACAGGCGGTGTCAAAGGCCAAAATTTCGAACTAATAAAACCTCTAGGCCTCACACAATTTATTTTCCAGGCTGAGATCCATGCAATGGAATTTTATGTACAAGAAATACTTAAAACATATTTTCAGCCAAGCAGCATTGAAGGTTTAGACTCCTTCACCTTCAACTCTAAGCTGGTCTGGAAATGCCTATCTCCAGCTCCTGGGAAAATGAAACCTCTTATGCAAGTATGAGGACATGAGAGGATCGATGGCAATGCACAGGCTGACAAACTTGCATAAACTGGAGCACCTTTCACATTGTTTGAACTAGGACTGCAAATTGCCACCAAAGCGTGCTAAAAGTGCAACTAAGCAAATGGGTGGAAAAAGAAATAACCAGACACACACACACACACACACACACACACACACACACACAGGATGAATTTACCAGCAATAAAACAATCAAAGAAGTTCTGCAACACCTTAACCAAGGGAACAAAAATCTATCTCAGCAGCAAGAATTAAAAAAAAAAAAATAATAGGCCTTTATACTTATTTATTTACCACTTCAAAAAATCATTTGGAAACCGGCTGACTCTGTCATGAAAAATCGGAGACATCATAACATGTTTTACCGGCTGCAAAGCATTAGCCTGGAAATGGTACAGCCAATTCAGAAAGGTGATACTAACACCTGTGGAAATTAGCAAAGAGGGATCTCCAAAAACCTTAAAAGTAGAGCATTCCAGGGTTTGGAAATAAAGAAGGGTCAATTTCACAATAGATCTTTTAGGCCGCAGTGTAAGAAATAACTAGTGAACCTGGAAAAGAAGAAGAGAAACAACAAAAAATTGTAGCTAAGAGGATAGAGGAGATTTGTGAGAAAAAAGTACCCCTGGCTGTAAATAAATAACTTACTGTTTTAAAGTCTCTCTGTTTGCATTTTTGGTTAATAATTTTTTTCCAATATTTTTTTATTATTTTGCAATGAAACTGGGAGATGTAAAATTCAATTTCTGCAACTAAGTAAATATTAAAGTTTGAGATATTTCATTATTGATGAACTCACAACTTGGTCTGATCAATCACTATTGAAGATGGCGAAATGCAGAAAACGATCTGACACACCGAACAGGCCAGGATTAACAGACTGGATTGCCAGAAGACAACCGTACTACAAATTATTAATGTACACACTGTAATTTTTGTTACCTGTATTATAAAAATGTCATCTTTTGAATAATTAATGAAAATACTGCATATCTGTACTAGGAAACAAACCGATATAGACTACATGCATCGCAAAGCTGACAGCTAAATAAATAACTTACTGTAAAACTTCTTTCTTTGTAAAATAAGTCAAGTCCTGGTGAAAAATAAATAAATTAGTATTAAAGATATCACTGTAAAAAAATTAAAATATAAAACCTGATAATCTTGAAGTTCTTCATCAGTGAACTGGCTGTTAGACTGACCCATCAGTATACCCGCTGATGATATCGTTCCAGCATAAAAATTTTCCGGGTATTTTCGTTTTGTTTATAACTTCAAAAGCTTGCGGAAGCTTATCTTTATTTCAGCAGAAACAAACAGGGAGCTCTGCTCGCACAAATCGATATTTTTGGGGTCTTTACAATATAAATCATTAAACTATTATGGATTGGTTCTTAAAATAGCTATAAAATCTATAAAATGGGAAAGATTTGGCTTAAAGATTATAGAAATAAAAGCTTCATGCTAAAAATATTATAAATTTAATTTTAAAAAAATTAACAAAAGGAAATAATTTATAGATATTAGTTATGAACTTATATGAGAAATTTTTTAATGCAATTGTACTGAAGTCAGATTGCAAAATTACAAACACTAAGTTTTACAGTCGAATTGATTGTATATTGACCTGTAGTAACTTTTTATTTTTTGAACTTAAGGGTGCGTTTTTTAAAATAAAAAATAAACCTTTTGTACACTTTGTAAATACACTTAAGTTGTGTAACCCATTTTTCATGTATTTTTTTAGCAAATAATGTAACTAATGAAAGTAATGAATTTTTTGGGCAGTTTTTGTATATAATCTAGGACAATTGGTAGGGTTTTGAATGAACCAACTTTTAGATTGTCTCAATATACTTGATTTAAAAAATAATAATTTTATTAAATTATAAATGTTTTTCTTTATATATTTTATTTTAGGGAAGGCAGAAGTATAAGTGAGAATAATTAATTATAAGTTGAAACTTATGTTAGTACTTTAGGGTAGGTTATAGTACAGAAGAGGTTTTTTATCTTTATTGACGATGGTATATTTTTAGTTGATACCATGAGTGAATAGTATGAGGTCTAGTTGGTTGGCCAGGTTCCTCGACAAATGGCCTGGTAAGAAAATATTCGGCATCTACCGTTTCATGCCGATTTTCTTTTTGATGGGAGCTGCCCTCGAATTTTCCATGATAAATTGGGACTTCCAGGGAAAAGTGAACTTTTACAGGACTTATAAGCGGCGCCAAGCCCAGGCAGTGGCAGACAGGATATTGTTAAAGGAAGAAGAAAAAGAAGAAATGAAGGCTTGACAATGCCGGCCGGTGTCTCTTGGAGCAAGTACCTTTCTGCACTATGCGCCTCCTTCTTGTCCATGTTCGCTGGAGCTCAAGTTGTCCACTACTACTACAGGCCACTCGATGACTTTGAGGAATATGTCCAGGCTGAATTGGAGTGGAGGAAGAACTTGAATGTGTCGAAAGATAAAAATGATTAGATTTTGTTAAAATGAAAGTTTATGATGTAGTACTAATTAAAATGTTGTCTTTTTGCCAAATTTTTATTCTTACCTCTACTCCAGAAGAAGGGTTTTGAAAATTACTGAAGAATAATTCTTCCAAAGCAATGTTAAGTGTACAGTTTCTCTAATTTGGCCATTTCCGATCATCCTGTTATGCCTATTCTGCGTATCAGAACATATTTTAACAATCCCCATTGGTTGTTCTGGGTGTTATTTAGTCAATCTTGTCCTTTTTATAAATTTGTAAATTAGTGTGGGCTTATTATTGAACAAATCAACAGATTTCAGGATTATTTTTTAACCCAGTACTGAAAATGATTAATTCAAAAACAAAACTGACAAAAAACTGAAAAGAGCGAATGGTTGCTTCTACAATATAAACATCTTCAAATTTAAACTCTTCTCAACAAGATTTAATGGTATACACGGTTAATTATGCTCATTTCGCGTAAATATCAAAGCAATAATATGTAATAAAAAATAAAAAAATGAAATTAAACAAATATATTACAAGTAGCAATTTTTACCAAATCTCTTTTCAATAAGAACTAATGGTAATCTTAGAGAAAACAAAATTTTGGATATCTTGGTAGGAGGTGACATGTTCTCTATTTTTCAAAATTTCATTTATTTTGTACTATTTTTATTTTATTTTGGCCATTTATAATACATCCAACATAGATATCAAATGCAAACCAATAACAATATTTTTAAAAAAATATTAAACAATTAAAATGATAACTGCTACTTTTCCCAATTCTCTGTAACTCAAAAATGTCAACTTTTTCTTCTATTTAACAAGATATTATATAATCTTTATTTATAATGTATTTATAAATAAAGTACCAAAATAGTAGAATACAATAAGAAAAAGGATTTAAAAAAAAAAAAAATAGAGTGCGATGTGTTACTTCCCCATATCACGATCTTCAAAATTTCAACATTTGTCATAAATAAACTAGCAGAAAACAATAAGAAAAAGAACAATAATTTAAAAAAAATGACAGATTGCAACCTGTTACTTTTCCATCATGATCTGCAAAATTTCAATATTTGTCTTCTTTTAAACAAGATTTTATGAAACAAATTGGTAATTTATACTACATATATCTTAAATAAAGTAGCAAAATAGTAGAAAACAATAAGAAAAAGTACAATAATAAAAAATAGAGAGCAAAGTGTTATCATGTGGTTTCCAAAATTTCAATATTTGTCTTCTTTTAAAATAGATTTTCTGGAAAAAGTTGGTAATTTAAACTACATTTATCATAAATAAAGGAGCAAACTAGCAGAAAACAATAAGAATAGAACAATTATAAAAAAAATGACAAAATAGATTGCAACATGTTCATCATGATCTCCAAAATGTCAATAGTACTTTAGTACATTTATCATAAATAAAGTAGGAAACTAGAAGAAGCAATAAGAAAAAGAAATTATTATTATTATTTTTTTTTTTTTAACGAGGGTTTGCAACAGCAGAAGTCATATAAACACTCAGGGTGCCGGTGTTTTTGAAAAAAAAAACCATTTGTAAGTATGTCGGGTTCAAATGCAGGGCCGCTAGATTCGAACCCGGGACTTTTACCTTACAGTGATGGGCGCTGTGTCAACACCTAACTGTTGCAGCCACCGACGCCCCCTTTTTTAGGAACTTATTATTATAATTAATATTACATATGTTAATATTATAATTAATATTATATATAATATTACTTATTATAAAAAAAATAATAAAATGTAAAGTGCAAATTGTGACTTTTCCCAATTTTCAGGAACTCAGGCTATTTGTGCTACATTTATTATAAATAGAGTAGTAAAAATAGTTGAAAACAATACTAAACTAAATTAATCAAGTATTGTGCAACTTGACTCCTATCCCCTGTCATATTCTTCAATTTTTTTTTTTTCAAAAAGAATTTTCGGTGCTAACTGGTTATTTATTTATGCTAGATTTAATATAAGCATAGTCGCAGAAAGTGGAGCAAATTGTCACTTCTATATCAATATTTCAAATCTAAGTATTTACTGTTTTCAAAAAATATGATGAAATAATAAAGTTAATTATTCCATAAAAAAAGTAGCAAACATAGTTGAAAACAATAATAATTTAAATAAAGTAAATAGAGTGCACTTCGCCTATATAATCTATGAAATTTCTACATTTTGTATCGTTTCAACAAATTATTATGGTACAGTCTGGTTATTTATGATCGATTTATTATAAATAAAATAGTAAAATTTGCAAAAATAGTAGAAAACAATAATAATAAATATAATTAAACAAGTAGAATGCAATGTGCCAGATTTCCAAATTTATATTATTAATAATAATTGAAAAGTGTGGTGTTTAGTGACTGTTAGTCAATGATTATTTGGAAATCGTGAGATGCGGTCTAGACCATAAATAACATAAATAATAATTCCAAATTTACTGTTTTCATCTTTTCAACATGACGTAATGGTTTCAACTAATTTATTTGTGCTGAATATAATAAAAATAAAGTAGGAGAAATACTAGAAAACAATAATGAATGAAAAAAGTTTTAATTATTACTTCTCCTATATGAACATTTTCAAATTTCAACTTTTTCCTCTTTCCAAAAGATGTGTTTGTACGAAATGGTTAGTTATACTACTTACTAGTATTATCAAGAAAGTAGAGTTCTCCCTTATTAAGATATGTAAATTTATACCGATTTCATCTTTTCAGCAAGAAGTATTGGTACAAGCTGGTTATTTATGCTACATATTATATATAAATAAAGTAGCAAAAATCATTGAATGTAGCTGTACACCACGTAAGCGTGATAATTCATGAATTTATACTGTGGATTTATCTATTTGTGCTTAAAAGAGATTTTTTTTTTCAGTCTTCAGCAACAGTTTCTAACAATGATATTCATTGTTCATATCTGGCTTTCTGCCTCATTTGATGGTTAAATACATTTAGGGAACATTTTTAGTATACAATGTGGTATACAATTTAACTGTTCAGTTCAGGATGAATTTGAAAGAAAGAAAATCTCACTTTCTTTCATAAGCTTTCGATGAATATTTTGCCCTTCATCAGTAATTTGAAATTATTTGTAATATTTTGTGTGGTTAACAAGTAAAAACATCCTTTACAGTATTAAAATTAATGGCTTCAGCGTTAATGAATTTATGAGTTTAATAAAGTAGACAAGATTTACCACCTTCTTCAATCCTAGATCTACCTATTCTCATTAGGTAATTGAGGAATATCATGGAATTTCATGGATTTGTTTGGCAGGAAATTGGCCAGTGGATTATATTAATAAAGTTTATAGATTCGATATATGTATATATAAATAAAACAAACTTATTTATTTAATGAAATTAACAGTTACAAAATTGCACATACTTAATAATAATTATTTTATACACATAAGGTACATAGACAAACTCAAAGGTTTGTTGAGTAAAAACTTATAAAATTATCTATACAGCTATGATGTTATATTAAACAAACAGTTTTAATTTACACAATTGTTAAAAAATGAGATTAGAAAAACAGTAATAGGAAAATTGATCAATTTGAGCATTAGTTCTGTTTACAATTTCTATTTAAAAGTTTTGTATTATAAAAAAATGTTTTTGACCACACTAATAAGGAACTAATATATAAAATGAAATGATATATTAAGTGTAAATAAAAAAAATTTGTACTAAAGAATAGTAGCATTTGTCCTTAGTAATACTTTATACAAAAACAGGTAAACAAAATTTTATATACAAAATTAACAAAAAAGGAAGAATAATTATGAGTTAAATGATATAAATATTACCTAAGAAGCTAGATATGGCATAATATTGTCTTATCCCCTGATAATTAACTACATTTTATTATTGGCTTTTAATTTACATAGCTACGTATTGTTTATTGCCACTATAATTTGTTCAAGTTGTTTGATCTCCCTGTATTTTACCAATAACATGTTTCACCCATCCTTTAGTAGCTGTTGTTTCGATTACAGTCGATGCAACTGAACTAGAATCGTAATCATCATCCTTTTTATCATGTAGGGATTCAGTGCTAAAGATAGATGATTTACTTTCAGTCATTTTCCATGATTTTAAACTTGGTGGTTTGTCAGGTACAGGTGGTGGCACTTTTTTTTTAATTTTTGGTATATAATGATCTAAAATGTCTTCGTGTTCACTGAATATTGCACTATCTCGACATACGTCGTTAATCATAGTAGATTCTATAGCTTCAAATGATTTTTCATAGAAACTATCTGCTGAACCATCGCTTTCTACTGTTTCAACTTCTTCTTTTTGTTGTTCCTTTGAGGAATTGCTTGGAGCGTAACCAGAGGAAGATGAAGAAGTTAAGTTAGAAACTAGGGAGAGTACTGAGTAGGGACGAATGCCTAACAGAGCAGCTGCTTTTTTAGATTGTGTAATGTTAGGAAAAAGTGTCCTGGGGTCAGCATAGTCCGAAGTTTCATTTCCATGTGCAATTCTCGCACCGAGGGCTGAGCTACCTTGCTTATAAACTGGAAGACGTCTTTCATCAGACTTTTTCTTAACGAATGTTTTTGCAAAGGCGTTCATTAGTTTATTCGTTCTACTGTCATCGATTTCATCTAAAGCTTCTGATGATAATCGTAAATTGGCAAGTTTGTTGCTGACAGAAGAGATCACTTGTTTCAACGTAGCTTTAGTTAAACTCGGCCTATATATTTTGTACTCAGGATGAACGTTTAGATGTTGTGTGCTTGCATCTGGTGTTGAATCTTCTTCAGTAGTATCATCGGGAAGAGGGAATCTGTGCCTTGTCAACTGGTCATGCTGAGAATCACAATATCTCTGCATATCTTCAAGATTAAGTTCCTGGGCTTTGTCAGAGGCGATTGTAAACGGACGATCAGGGGAAATTCTCGCCCTGTGCCAGTCTGGTGTCCCCAGTTGAAATCCTCGTGGTAGGGACCCTGCTTTGTTACTAGTAGGTATAGCTAAATGTTGCCTCTGTTGCTTTAGCCATACAGCTGGCGATGTCGGACCATCAAAAGATATTGTACTTCCAGAAAGAGATACTTCTGGGGAACTTTGATCATAACCTCCTTGACTAGTGAAAGATTGCGTTCTTTTCAAACTGTTACAATCCAATTCTCTTACTTCATCCCATACATTTTGCAAATTATCATAGTCTCCTTCCCTTTGGGCTGACAAGCTTCTTGTCGACCGAGATGTCGGTATACTGGACCCCTGACCGCAACCTTCATCTTCTTCATCGCTTGTTTCGATCCTGTGCCTCCTCGATGTAATATGTCTCTGTTTTTTCAATACCCTTTGGAATTCTTTATTTTGCATTAAGAGCTGACTGACTATCTCCTCAATTGTCTTTTTCTTTTCAACTTGAGGAGATGGTTGTTCTTCGAGATCTTGTTCAGAAATATGGAGATCAACTGATCCACCTTCAGAACTCTGTTCAGTCTGGCTTTCCGGTGGATAACACTCTTCTTCTGCATTATCATTTCCACACTTATCCTAAAAAACAAAGAAATGATAATTATTTTTATAACTGATATAATGAATGAATAATATACCTTCTGGTTTTCAGTGGGACTGTTACTGAGCTCATCTCCTCTTATTTGGCTTATTCTTCTTAGCCTCTGTTGAGTCTTTAAAAGAATAGTGTTAATTAATAACAATCATAAAAAATCAAATGATTTATTGTAAAATCACTTACTTTTGCTGTTATGCATGGTGATGTATCCGATTTTCGATTCCTAGTTCTCAGTCTTGCTCTTAAACCGGTCTCAGACTTCCTTCTCTCTCTTTCTTGCTTCCGCCTCTCAAGATATTCTGGTGCTGAATGCTGTCTTTTTGGTGCAGTCTTTTCGGCCATTATTTCATCTGAAGAATAAAAATAAATAGTAATGATTTAAGAGTAAAACCATAATCCAACAACAATTTTACCATCAGTTCTATTTTGACCGAGTTGCATCACTAGCTGCCTGGCATGTGAAGGAATTACAGCGTTGTAATTTTCAAGTATTACTCTCTTTAACTGTAGTGTCCATTCACGTTTTTGTTCCAAACTGCGTGCCTGAATTAAAATTTAAATTAGCAATTACTTTCTAAAAATCATATAAACAACTGACATAAAAAGAAAATAATACCTGAAGAGTATACTGATATCTAGGGTTGTCAAACGGTATGACATGGAAACTAAGAGGCTCCCCCGTTACGCTCTCAATAAGCATTAAATTTGAACACTGCAAAGTTAAAATTAAATTATAAATTTGAAATAATATATTAACAAATAAGCTTAAAATGCTACCATAATGTGAGCTTTATATCCAAGAATTCCTTCTTCTTTCTTTTTTGTAATAAGAAGAATTTGGTCAAAGAGAAACGCATGCCTAAGTGCTTTAGCACCAGACATCCTAAATGTCCCTTCAGCACACAATTCTCCATAAGTGGTGAGATCTTCTCCCTGAAGGATAAAACAGGCATAAGAATAAAACTGATATCTAGCATAAAAAAGAGATATTGGAGACTTACCTGCCAACCGAGCAACAAACTTTGTATCTCCTGAACTCGAACGGCATGTTCGTGTTTCCTTTTCATATCGTTGATATGATGTGCGATGGCCGTCATGGTGGAGAGAGCGTCAACAACATCTCCATAGCCTTCAGCTTCTGGAGCGAGGTTTTTGACAATATTCTGCAGGAGGAGGTGATATTTGAGAATCCTCTGTACAGGCTTCAACAGATATGAACCAAGGGGAAGAGTGTGCTGAAGAGAAGATTGTCTCTCCCGAAACAGCCTAACAGTGTTTTCCTGGCGCATAAGTTCTGTCAAAACACTGACAGTCCTGGAAAAGACATTTAATATTAAATAAAACTAAAAGAAGCAAAAGTATATTTTAAATAAATGAGATAATGTAGAAGTACACGTAAAACAGGTCTGACATAGGAATGAATGCATAGTTGCACTGGATCAAACAATTGAAAGATAAGCTGAAGTTTTGAAAAACTTATCAGAGATGACCAAACTACATCTTATCTGAGACCTCAATAGGAAATATCATAATTTAATGGTGAAAGTTAAACGAAGTCCTATCGACAGTAGGATTTGGAGTGGGCAAAGCCACAAAGATTAACTTGTTTTTAGATCTTAGGTTTGCGTTATTGACCATGCCTCAACTAATCGTTAATTCAACTGGAAAATTTAAAAAACCCTGTATTTTGGGTCCTAAAAATTTTCTCTCTGCTGAACGAATTGTATCCTGAGTAGGCAGATATTCAGCTTAGTGGAGCTGAGATTATTGGAGCTCCAATGTATTTGATTAAGTGGTTGATCTATACAATCTTAATTCTGCACAATAATGTAAATAATATAAAATAAAAACTGTATGATAGTATCTGAAAATTTAAATACAATATTTAGAATATAATTAATTAATTATAAGCAGTAAGTACATAGTTCTGAACTGATTTATAGAAGCTCAGCTATGCACATGTATAGACATGCACAAGTGTGCGGAGCTGAACATAACAGTTCTCACAGCTTGCCGGCAATTCCAGCTTTTGTGTTACAATAAATTACTGGCAGGCCTTGAGAATCAAGATCATCTTCAGGGTTTGAAGATGATCTCAATAAAGATCGAAACGTTGGCACGATAAAGGAAATGTTTTTCTAAACCTACATCACACCAGACCGCATCTCACGATCTCCGAATTTACTAACTATTAACTAACGGTCACTAAACACCACACACTAACAGTTTATTGCTTCAGAATTCAAATGAGACTGAGTGAACATTTTAAAATCCGTAAAAATTAAACATTGAAAAATAATTAATTATTTATTTTTTGTAGGTCTTGGTTGAAATGAAAAAGTTAGTGACACAAGAGAGATTCGAACCCAAGACCTTTGGCTCAATATGCTGCTGCTCTAACCACTTCAGCTGTCGTTACATAGTTTATTCTTGTTTTGGATTAATGTGTCTAATATTCCCAATATAAAACATAGCATAAATAAAATTTATTGATAAAAACAATGAGAGGTCAGAATTTTCTTATTGAGAAAATGAAAAAAATTAATTGGGTGGAATTTTTTGCCTGTCAGTGTAAAAAATGTCATGAAAAAAAAAGGAAGGCAATTTCTAAAATAATTTAAAACCCCCTGTAAGAGAGAAAAAAAAGATCTGTTTCGTTCAAATGAAAATTTCTACCAGGATTCTGGAATTTGTATGGAGCTAGCTATATCAACTTGTATACACGAACCCCGCTAGATGGCATGGAATGCAAAGGTTCCAGGATAATTATTTCATAAATACGGTTGGAGGTAATGAAGAAAACTAATTCTTCCTGTACTCGGGTAAATCGGGCAATCTAAGAAGTTGAGGCATGGAGACCAACACCCCGCATTCTATATATGGTCATCCACTGAAGAATTTGAGGTAGCCACGTTGTTTTTTCTACTAGGAGCTCAGAACTGGAGAAGAGCTCTGAAAGAATATCCCTCTGTTTTTATTTCATTCTGTGTTTTTTTTTTCTGTTTAAGTTCTGTCTTATATTTTCTTTTCCAACTGCGAAACGTATATAATCGATTTGTACTTAGCCCCTCCAAATAATAAGGAATACATCCGTTTGTTCGTTAAATAGTAATATAAATATTACGTTATATTATATGATGTATATAGGTGTTTGTTAAAATAAGACGAAATGTCTCTCTCAGGCATTTTTTTTTACTTGTCCTTCCCAATTTCTTCGAAAAATCTTGATATGAGTTCATTATAATTTCGTTACCGTTTATTATATATATTTTTTCATATTTCTAAATAAAAATAAATATTTATAGCTCTACTAATCAAAATCTTAAATTTTTCTTTTAATTCGGGCCAGGTTTGTAAGTATAAATTGATGGTATGCTATAAATTGAAAAATTTAACTTTCGAATCTGACAAGCTGTATTATTGAACTTTATTACCCTAATAAAATAAAATTTTAATTGTATTTTACTACTTTACCTTGGATAATTGGTGCAATAGTCCGTATAGATCGAAAAACCTGAGTTGTTTTTGACAAAAACTTTGGCCACTTTTACCGGGTCGAGTCCGCAGTGTTCCAACTCTTTGAAGAATGTACTGTAAAATGGAAATATAGTTAAATCTATGTAATTATTAAAAAGAAAATCAAAAATATTAATTTACCTGTTAAACGAATATATCTGCCTAAGGTTGCCGAATAAATCTGACATTTGTTTTTCGCTGAGACCACAATCAGGGCTGTTCTCCCACCGTTCGATGTAGCCCTGAAAGTAATTTAAAAATTAGTCAATTTATAAAGTTTTTTTCAACTGATAAGTGAATTATATATTAAATGTTCAAACTTGTGTTGAGATTTGCCTCTATCGTTTTATCCATTTTTTTTTAAATTGAGGCGATATAGGATTTGTAAGTTGGATATGACACGAACTTCCGATAATGATCTGTCAGGGGTTCTTTGATTGAATTGTAAAACGTGATGATGTTTGCGAAGCGATAAAACGTGCAGCTTTATCGTCCTGGTCCGCCTAGTCTCGCTATTTGACATATCTTTATTTTTAGTAGTCGGCCTGCCCATGCTACAAGTTCGGGTTAGACAGACCAAGACGACCACGATGATGAAACTACAGTTCAAATATATATGTTTGTGAACCTGCAGTTTGGTAGTCCACGATCACCATGGTCCGCTTGTTCTCGTTGCTTCTGTCTGTCAGATGCGTTTCAGCATTTCGCCATTTTCATTGTTTCGTATGTGTTCTTGACAGTCAAGTTTTTTTATACGTTTATATAAAATGAAAGGGTGTGCCGGTGTCTTTGACTGTTTAAATCCACTCGTCTGACAAAACTAGTGATAATAAGCTAATCAGGATGACGATCAAGGAAGGACGAAATGAAAAATTAACTAATACGTGTGTCTATATTTTAAATTAGTATCAAATATTATTGGTGTATATTATATTTTTACAAATTGTTTTATTATTTGTAATGGAAGTACTGAAAGATAATTTGTTATTATTTCAACAATTTTTTATAAAGATGGGATCGAGTCTTTTGTTATGCTCTTCAATACGTTGAACTGGCAGACTAACATCCACTTTACACTCTTTAATATACTATTTCGTACTTCGAATTTAATTAACGAATGATCATCCCATTAGCCATTAGCAATAAATTGCAAAAGAAGATTAATTCCGAACTTACAGGTTCAAAACCTCTATCATACACACGCACCAAGCACACAAAAAAACTAAGACAAAAACTTTTCAACTCTGCCTAAAAAAAATAAATTTCATAAGAATATGATTTATATTTAGCCAGGATAAATACCGCCATTTTGGAAAGGCAATTTGCTTAAAGAAATTAGCGAAGTTGCACCTAGTAAACTCGCAAATTCTAAAATGAAAGTGAACTTTCCAAGTTATGGACGTAAGGAATGAACTCAATTTACAATAGTTCTACTTAAGCCGCAGCGGGCAGGGAAGCTTTTAAATCACCATGGACTTCGTAAACCAGACAGATTTATTATCATTATTTTATTAACAATGGTTTTAAATTGAAATTCATTAATAATAAAACCGTATATCGTTACAATATTGGTATTAAAAAAAAGTAAAAAATAAAAAACCGTTCTCTTGACTGTTTAACATAAATTTATCGCCTTCTTAATAGGTACAAGCACCCGTTTGAAGTTATCCATCGTGAAGATTTGAAGATAAATGTTCCTTAGGAGATTTACTACGATGGCCATCGAACTGTTTACTTTGAAAAAGTTCCGCCTAACCGACTGGACGCAGTACCGGTTCTTGAAGTATGTCACTACAAAACTAGAACAAAAACACCGCATGATAATAAGATAAAAATATAAAAAGGGCCGAAAATAATCGTTAAACATCAGTATAATCTTAACGCTCTTCATATAAAATCATACTTTAGTATTGAAACACTAGAAATAATTTGATTGTTTAAGATTATGACGAGTGCGATATCGTAACTTTAATGTGTTTACAAAACAATTTGTTTGGTCTTTATACCTGATCTAACCCTCGCTGGATAAAATAGCAAACAGACCAACTTCTGAAGTAGGCGTAATGCCGGAAAGCATATGACAGACGAAAAGATCTAGGATAGACGGACCATGAGGTCGGAAACGATTGAATTATATATTAGTTAGGTCCGTCTTCTCAAACCATCCTGCCTGCTTATTGTCGCTGCTTTTATCCGCCATGCGTCGACAGAACAGACACCATAAACTTATAAAATGACTGGACGAACAAAATAACACACAGACCAACCACTGAAGAAAGCGAGATAGCGGAAAGCATATGGCAGACAGAAGGAGAGAGGACAGACATATCGGTTAATCGGAAACGATCGAACTTTAGATTATTTAGGTTCATCGTCTCAAACTATCCTGCCTGCCTACTCTTGTTTTTCAAACAACAAGAACAAATACAACCATAGACTTATAAAAGGGCACGATGAACAAAATAACTCACAGACAATCATTGGAGATGGCATAAAAATCCCAGCGATTATGATGATGAAGGTCAAACTACAAAACAGATGCAAATATAAATATCTTCATATTCTCATTAAATATAAAAATGATTCCTGCGAGATTAACACCTTGAGGGCTGGCGATTGACCCTAAAACTAAAACTAAAAAAAAAATAGTCTAGGCACTGTCTTGATCTATAAAATAGGGCATAACTAGTAAAAGGTGAGCACAGACTAATCTCTGAAGATGGTGTAAATGAAGCAACGCGATTGACAGATCAACGATAGACTAACTATAATAGCTCTAACTCTAGCCACAGGTTCATCACATAGCAGATCTCTACATCTCACAATAAATAAAATATCCTATCATCAGCGATTTTCCTTGGAGACATTGGTCCTGTCTTCAGAACTACAGTATAGAACACTGAATATAAGTTGATCAAAGTGGATCAAATTCAACTAGTCAATAAGATTTAAAAAGTATAGGTCTCTGTGTTGTGTGTGTTGTGTGTTGTGTGTGTGTGTGTGTGTGTGTGTGTGTGTGTGTGTGTGTGTGTGTGTGTGTATTCGGTTGTTTTGTCCATCGAAGACTGTGTTTGAGCCTTGCGCATTGTCTCTTGAGTTTGTTCTCTTTGTAGGTTTCTTTATACCAAAAATGAATGAAAGGTAGTTAGGATTATTTTACACAATGTAATTAATTTGAAAATTTTATTATAGATATTACTAGCGGTCGGACAAGAATCGATCAACAATTAAGTCATTTATTTGTTTAATCCCGTTATTTGAATTAGAAGGCTTACAGCGGAAGCCCAGTAGTCTTCCATTGTTCTTAGCTCAGGCCCTGGGCCTCTGATTTTAATAAGGCAGTTATTGTGCGCACAACAACAGATCGAACCGACAATGTAATTTTTCGACGAGGTTTGTCCGGACATGCCCTTCGCTATTTGGCCATTTCCTCGTTAAGTCCTTTGTTCCAGACAGATCGGATCGGGTTCAACGTTGAAGTAAGGATATATTCAAGCGATGAGAGAGAGAGAAAACCTGAAAACCTTGGGATACGATGCGGAAATCCAGTTGTAACACTAAACTCGAGACATCTCCCCCCTTTTCATAGCTTCACGTAAACACCGACGTATTGAATTACACGGAATTAACATTTCTTCAACGTCACCTCTCATCATCAAATGAACGTTGCATAATGCGTTATTTCTGTCTGATCGGAAACTGCTTGTACTATTTCCTATTTGGGGAAACTGCGGATCTGGTCGATTTTTGACGCCTTGTTAAAACGAGAAACGGTCAACAATGGCAATGAATTGTGCTAAGGTGTCCGAGTGCCGAGGAACTGTTGTCAGCATTGAAATGAAAACCGGACATAGAAAGCCGTAATTTAAATTTTTACTAACCAAGCTGAGAAAAAGCAAAATGTAAACTAGAAAAATATTAATAAAACTATAGAAGTCCCAGTACAGAAAACTGATACAGTAATAAAGGAGGGTTTTACGTGAAACACCTCAAATTATCGAAGAACTTCAAGGGCATGGCAACCAAGAAAGGCTACGTCTCAATTATGAGGATACCCGAGCAATTTCGACAACCCAATATAATTAATTATTTTTAAATGAACATTTTTGTAAAGTAATAGTAATTCTCTGTCGTCAAAGGTATGAGACGAACGCAAAGCCCTCCTTAACAAAAACCCTCCTTATAAAACTACTTTACTAAATATGTATAAATAAAATGTAAGATTAACTGCTAATTATTTGTAAAATAACATTGTTTATAAAAGGATAAGGATTCATCAAAAATTGAAAATATATTGTTGTTAGTTATCTGAGACCTCGTCAAAGTAGCAGCTTAACTGCTGATAATTTGTAATGTACCCATTGTATTAAAATGGCTATAATCCATAAAAAATTGAAAAAAACAAAACAAACAAGTTTTGTAAAGTGGTCTGTCAGTAAAGTCTAAGTCAATGTTACGAGTATAGTTGAACATAAACCCCCCCCCCTTATTTGTCAACTATTTATTCAAATATATTTAAATAAAATGAACGTTTTACTGCTGACAATTTGTAAAAAAATTGTAATAAAATAATAAAAAAAATATTGCTATCATTTTTCTAGGTGAATTCTTAAGCCCCAACTTCACCCATTCCACAGTACGGTAAATTTTCTTCAAAGGTAACAATTGAGCTGTAAAGAATTACACATGCTTTGGAAAGGGTTTCAACTCATATGGAAAGGGTTACATTTGACTTGGAAAGGGCTACAATTGATTTGTAAAAGATTACACTTGAGTTTGAGGAAAACTTCAAATAGGCTTGGAATGCTATATGAACGTAAAATATGAAGTAAAACAGGGCCCTCATTTAGGTTCCTTATTATTTTCTCTTCTCATTTATGATGAAGTTCTACCGTGTAATGTTAATTTCTTGTTGTTCCCTGATGATGGCAAATCGTACCGTGTAGTCACTAATACTTCAAACCACCTTTAATAATTTGATAATAATTAATAATTTAAATTTGATAATAAATAAATTTTAAATTTGATAATAATAATAATCTGATAGAGTAATTTCAAATAATGATCATAAACTTAATCTGAAAAAGTGTTTTGACTTGTCATTTTATAGATTTCATAGAAAAACTAATCCCTCCTAACTTGTGCTTTTGCCTGTATGTTTTTTTAATAAATAAATCAATTATTTGGTTTACAATTTTTTATCCTTAGCTTTCACTATTAAAGCACTGCTCTTTGATTTACA